ACGAGGCCCCAGAAGCACTTCCAGCAGCAGCAGCAGGCAGCAGGCACTGGCTGGACGGCAGGACAGGGAGAGCTGCACTCCTGTGGAGCAGGGACAGGGAGGCTCGGAGCAGTCAGTGCTCCTGTGCCATCCCCAGCACTGGGTCTGTGCACTGCTGGGTGTGCTGGGCAAACTGGGACACTGGGACTGACCCCGCGGGCAGAGCCTGGCCCCGGGGCCAGGGAAGAGCAAACAGGAGCCTCTTGCACCCACTGCAAACACAACAGTTCTCAGGGATTTTCCTCCAGGCAAAGGGGTTCTCTGGCTGATTCCCTTCCCCTCCAGCCTCGTGGGAGCAGACTTTCTTAGGCTTACATCCCTTTCAGGTGTCCCTTCTTCTCTTCCTCACCAGAAATTTTGCTTATTTCTGTTACCAAAAACTGTTAAAGTTAAAAGGGACAGCCTTGGAAAGAGACAGCAGCATCCCTGGGAAGTAGCAGTGATCTAGGGAGGAAAGGGAAGGGAATGGCCACTCCTTGGGATTTCTAATGGCACAATTTGGGGTGGGGCAGGCACTGAAGACAAAGAGAGCACATGGCTCTTGGGGGGGACACACCAACGTGGGAATACTCATGAGCTTTGTCACTTTGATCACTTCATCTGAGCCCCGAAGTGGGGAGGGCAGGACCCCCAGCCCGGAGCAGGGGCTGTGCTGGGGGGACAGGCTGGGCTCGGTGGCCGGGGAGGGCACGGAGGGAGCCCGGAGCCCTCTGGCTCCGCGGAGCCCGGCGCTGTTTACTGAGCTCTGTGGTTGGATTACACCACGTACAGTAATTCTCCTCGCACTGCCAGTAATTTCACTGACTTACCAAGCAGGCATCATTTCCTGAAAGTCAGCCCTGGACTTAGAGGAAGTAAGAGCCCTCTCGTCGTGACTAAACACTCTATGCAAATCTCCGGGCGCAGGACAGCGGCTCTGCCGGGCCCTTTGCCTCCATTTTCCCTCCTGCCTGCTGAATGTTGGTTTTTAAAGCCCCCGATGAGCCCTGGCCGTGAATGGACCTTTCCTCGCTCTGCACTGAGCACCCTCCCCCTGCCGCTGCCGCCGACAGCCCCCCGAATGCTGCTCTAAAATGTCCCAAATGCACTTCTGGCTAAAGTTCCCGTCTCTCTACAAGGTAATGCCTGATTTTTCCTGGTTTTTTTTCCTGCTCCTCGGAATTCCCGGTGCTCTTGGCTGTGGGCAGCGGGCCCCAGCTGCTCCCCGGGCGGGTGTCCCTGGCAGTTGTGCAGTGGCAGCAGAGTTTTGGGAATGATGTCTGTCCACGTTGGGCACCGGGAGCAGATTTATTGTCCCAAAGATGTGATTTGTATTTTGCTGGAACCTGCCTTGCTGGACGCTGTTCTGTCAGTCAGAACTCGGTCACTGAGTGTGGAATTTGGAGGGAAGGAGCTGTGTGGGAATGGATCCGTGTGTTTGTGTGGGTGTGATGGCTTTGGGGGGTTTTATTTCTGAAGCAGATGCTGGCTGCAGGGAGCGAGGGGAACACCAGCTGGCCAGAGCTGAACCCTCCCCACTGCCAGTTTGTCACCCTGAATTTAGAAAACTTTTGGGGTTTGGCAGCTAAAAGATTTTATAGTGACTGTCTGCAGCTCCTGAAACATAATGTGCTTAGTCTGTGATTTCTGAGGTGCCAGATCTCTCCTTGCTGACAGCGTGGCTGTGGTTGTGGGTGTGTATTTGGGTATATACATGGGTTTTTTGGTTTTTAATAAAACCCCCTCTCGCCTGGGTGCTGTGCTGTGCAGTCATCCAGAGCTGCTCTGCAGACACTGTTTCCTCAGTGTCTGGATTGTGAGAGAATAAAACATTTCTAATGATGGCCAAAAATATTTTTAGGATGCTCATTCCTTCTGTATTTAGACTTCACCTGTTCTTTTTTTTATTTATATCATTTATTTATATCATTATTTTTAACACTTTGTTTTGACCAAACGAGCTGAGCTGTTCCCAGGGGCTTGGAGAAAGGTTGAGTGTTTGGGCTGGTTTACCCTGACTTTTTCCTAGTCTTTTCTAGGGAGTGAGTTGTTGGGTTTGATAATCTCAGTTTTGGGATAATGACAGGAATACCATGTGCCACAGCAGCATCAGTTCATCCTCTGCTCCGAGACCCACCTGCAGCCCTGCCCCCAGCTCTGGGTCCTCGGCCCAGGACAGGCCTGGACCTGCTGGGGCCAGTCCAGAGGAGGCCACGGAGATGCCAAATTCCAGGAATGAGATTTATGTAGAGAACCGTTGCGGAAAAACATCTGAAGTAAAAATCCTGCCTGGCAGGACAAATTCCATCTGTTGCAGAAATGCAACTTTAATGAAACAGAAGTGCTGTTACTGTAAAACCTCTTGTTTCCAATGAGAAATCCTTAAAATTCTGGTTAATCAGCCTGAAACAGGGACAAAATAACTTGTTTCAAACCCCGACACCTGAGGATCCTGACCATGAGCTCTTGGTCGAGGTGATGATCCTTCTTTTTCCCCTGAGGACATCAAGGCAGCTGCTCCAGTTTGGGCCAGATAAACCAGTGGAGTGATTAGTGCAGGCATGGTTTGTACTGGTTATGGTTATTTGTGGCCTTTTGTTAAGCAATTACTCTGGGTTTGATAGAAGCAGGGCCAGTTTAGTGCCTGGTGGTGGAAGTTCTTTGGGCGGGGAACCTGGCAGGTGATTAACTTTAGTGCTCTTTAGATAATGCAATTAGTTAAGACAAATGGGAGACTCTGGAAGTTGGTGACTAATGCCTTGTAATGTGGGAGAGGATGGGATCACTGCATCACTTCCAGGACTGGTATTGTCCTCCCTCTGCCTTGGAGGCTGGTTTCCTCTCCCCAGTTCAGCCCAGTGCCCTGAGCAATGGTGGGGCTGGAGCCTTCGCTGGGGATGGAAGGGGCTGGGTTTGGGAAGGTGGGGGACACTTGCTGGGATGTCTCAGGTGGTGTCACAGGGCTTTCCCAGATCCTGCTGCTATTCCAGCCCAGCCCTTGCCTGGCCTTGGGACCTGGACATGCAGTGGCCACTCTGGGCTGCCCCACAGCCTCCTGCTGCCACAACACGATGTGCAGATGTTTCCTCCTGACCCAACCTCTGTCAGTGCCGCTTGCAGGTGAACAAACCCTGCTCAGAGGTGTCTCACCATGGCTCAGTGACGGGACCAGCCGGGGATCCTGCACAGGGCACTCGCTCTGGCCAAGGCCGTGTTCACCCGAGTGTTGTTCTGCTTTCTCAAGTGGGAAACGGAGTCCAGAGATCCCCTAATTCTGAGGTGATAAATCTGGGTGCCTGTTCACCCTACAGACACCTTGGCTTCTGGGTAATCTCAAAATATCCCCAGAAATACCAAGAGCAAGAGCTGCACAGGAAGCGCTGCCCGTTGGGCACATGGCAGCACCCACTGCTGGCAGGAGGTGCCACCCTGCTCTGCCAGACCCATGGACAGCCCTTCCTCCTGGAGTTCCTGGGTCCCCTGGTTGGTATTTGAGGAATCCAACCCCCCACATCACACCTGCCATTCCTTTAGTGCCAGCGCCTGCACACAGCGGCTTCAGGAGACGTCCCTGGGAAGAGGGGAAGGGAAAGTGTCCTGGAGGTTTAAACACTGAAACCTGTAACTTTGGATAGCAATTAGGGGGTGTCTGACCCAGCTCTTGGCCTGAAGCTCTCAGGAACAGCACGACCAGGCTCAGCTGCTCGAGGGTTTATGTCAGGCAGGGCTAAGTGACTCTTAAAACTCTTTGGCTGCCTTTCTGCCTGGAGTGGGAATCTGGCCCTTAACTAGAAATGAGCAGCAATTCCTCCTGTACCAGCCCCTGGCTCTGCTGGCAGAGGGTTATCACGCTGCTCTGGCTGGGCTGTACTGACAGAGCTGACCACTGTGAGGAACCACAGACCTGACTGGTGTTGGCAGAGGCTGTGAGGCACCAAGACAGACCTACTGGTCTGTCTGCCCATCCCTCTGGGACAGAGGCTCATCTCCAGCCAGACCTGAGTGCTGGAGCTTGGTGCTGGAAGTACATTGATCTTCAGTAAACAGCAGACAAAGTTCTTCTTCTTTGACAAAGCTTGAAAGTGGTGTTTGGTATGGGAGGAGGGCTGGGGTGATGGGATGGAGCCGGGGAAGGGGCAGGGATCTGTGCCACAGCCAAGGATGCAGAGCAAGAAGTGCTTATCAGCTCTTGGTTCTTACCACCTGAAATATAGAAATCAGACCAGAGGTTGATGTTAGGGAGGGGACTGAAGGCTCTTTCTGAGCCAAAGTCTGTGTGAGACAAAGCAACAGCATGACAATTGCAAACCCCCTCAGCCCAGGCACCAGAAAAAGAGCAAGGGCAGAGCCTGGTCCCTGTTGCTGGAGCACAGTCCTTGTCCAGGCTGAGGCTGGTCCTTGGGAAGAGGATGGGTAGATTTGCCCAGATTTACCTAAATGCAAATCCAGGGGACAGCAGCACTCCTGGGAGCCCCGTGTGTGCAGGGCCTGCCAGGAGGAGAGGGATGTTTCCCAGGGGCTCCAGGTAGAGCCGTGTTGGAAATGGCAGTGAAAGAGCCACGTTGTGATCAGGTGTGGCTGGTTCTCTGTGGGCCTCTGCACATGAATGAAATCCTGGGGTCCTTAGGGGGTCAGGCTGAGGCCTTTGCACCCCTCAGCAGCCTCTTTAATGAGGCACAAACTGCAGGGAACCGATGCCTCTCTCCCACTCCTCCATGTGCAGGGATGTGCACAGCCCGAGTCAGCCCTGACCGTGTGCCCGCACTCCTGGCCAGGGCTTTTCCTACTTTTTCAAGAAACAGGTTTTCCAGCTGCACCACAGAGCGTGTCCTCAGGCTCAGGGTAATCTCTGAGCTTTGTGGGGCGTGAAGTGACGGGGCTGCTCATCTGACAGCAAGAAATTAGAACTTGCTGGCTGAGTGAGGAAGGAGCTCTCTGGTCTCATCCTGCCTCCTCTAACCGTGGTCGTGTCTCCATTTCAGGATTCTTCATACCTCGATGAGCTCTCCAACAACTCCCTGTTCTCGTCCCCCGCGGATTCCCTCTCGGACATCGCGGATCCCAAGGACTTCCTGCCCGCCGACAGCCTCAGCCACGTGCCAACACTATGGGATGTGAACACACCGCAGAACCCCATCGAGGTAGGGGCTGCTCCTCCCTCGTCCTCCCCAGAAGACACCTCAGGCTTCATCCTGTGGGGCTTTTAAGGAATTCAGAAACCAACCCAATTCCTCTGGGTGAAGTTGAGGTGTGATGATGCTGTTCTGCTGTTACCAACTTCACTGGAGGAGGGAAGGGGTGAAGTGGTGACATCACATATTTGGTCTCCTGGGAGCAGAAGGGAATCTGGGCACCCTCAGAGGGATTCACACACTCTTCCAGAGTGCAGCACAGGCACTAGCTCTTTCTCCTGGCAGCTGTGGCAGGGAGGTACATCCCAAGAAGGATGTATCCCTAAAACATTCAGCAGGTCCAGTGTGACCTAGACAGGGCACTCAGGAGTGCTGAAGGGATGGGCTCCAGGAAAACCACCCTGACATGGATCATTAACTGCCCCCCCAGCAGCAGCACCTTTTGTTTGTTCTCCAGGGCAAATATTTCAGTTACAATGACTGAAAAACTGTCTCAATTTTAGACTCACCATTTGTGTTTGCTTTGTGAGTCCAAGTCCCTGCAAGCTTTTACATCCCGGAGTTTTCCGGGGTGTGGGATCTCCTGGCAATCCCACAGCAGCATGTGGTCCTGGCCATGTTCACCAGCCCTCTGCCATCTGCTCTGCCTCAGCTGGGGGCTGACACAGTCACCAGGGGCAGCCACCTCCTCCTGGGGTTGTTGGAGCCACATCATCCCCATCCACTGGATCCGGGTCCTGGCTCCTGCTGAGCTGTGCCGTGGGTTTCCTTTGTAGGTCACTCTCTTAGGAAGAATGAGGGAAAACACTCAGTGTGGATATCCCAGGAGGCAGCCTGGGGTGCCTGTGCCATAGTCATTGCTGCATTTTGAGGCTCTCCTGTGCTCAGAGGCTGCATTTTGCAGCCAGTGTCTCTGGCTGTGTTGCCATGAGACAATCACACACAGTCTGCAAACCTAGGACCAGCAAAAACTTACTGGGAAAAGCTGTTCTGAATTCAGTGTGAAGAAATAAGTATTGTGCAAGTGTGAGACTGACTCTGTGGGCACAGCAGTGTCTCTAGCCTTGGCCCCATCCCTGTCCCTGTCCCTCTCCCCTGCTGTTCCTCACGTCCTGCCCTGGCCCCTTTTGTCCTGTGGAGCACTTGGACTCAGATAAGGCCAATTAGCTCCTTGGAATTCCATTTATAAACAACTTCCTTTGGAAAGGAATCTCCAGCTATTTTAAACGTTTTCTTATCTGTGTTTTCTGGAGACAGAGATGGTTTGGGCGGGGTTGTTGCTTTTTGGGCTGTTTTTTAACTGAGTGATATTTCCTGAGGAGGTGTCAGGGAGGTGCATCCTGGACAGGAGATTTTGGTTTCATTTTTGCTTGGAGGGGGCACTGTGGACCAGGACACTGGGTGAAAGGATTGTCAAACTGACTCATCATTGGCAGCTGCACGTTGGTACATGATATCAGCAGTTTGGATAATCTCTCCCTATCCCTTCCCACATCCTCGCAGTGTAATTGTCCACAGAATTGCAGGAATTTTGGCTTTCCAGCAGCCAGCAGCCAGAGCAGTCACTAAGCTTCAGTACAAATGGAGCATCAGTCACGTTACACCCAAGCAGATCCATCCTGATCCATCCTGATCCGTGTGATCCAGGACATCACTCAGCTGTGGCTGTGCAGCCAGCTCTGCCCCCACTGGGCTGGGTTATCAGGACTGTAGTTTTTCCAGAATTTCTGTTTCAGAGACCCAGGCAGAGCAGGAACATCAGTCTCCCACAGTTCTGATGGGTGGGACATCCCAGGGGCCAAGCTGGCTGCATCCTGTGGGAGACCCACCTGTGGATCCCAGGTACAGGAACAGCCTTGTGCCTTGTCCTCTTTAAAAATAAACATTCCAAGCTCCCTGAGAACCCCTGGACTGAGGTGCCCCGTGCTGAATCTGGAGTGGGGTGTTATGGCTGAGGAGGAAAGGGCTGGATATAGAGCTGCCTCCATGTGCCCGTGGGGAGAGTTGTTATCCCGAGGAGAGGAGCTGCATCCAGTGCCTTGGCTGTTTATCAGCCAGGAATGGGCAGTTAGGGAAGAGCTGCCACCCTGTGAAATATTTGCAGGAGCAGCAGACAAAACAGTTCCCTTTGTAATGGAGCTGGGAAATACCATTTAAAAATAGTCCCTGTCATATCGTGTTTTCTCTCATCCATCTCACACATTCCCAGTGTTTTTAAGGCTGGGAAGCACAGACTTGCTTCGGAAGCCTGTGGCTGGAATTTTGGAGCTGCTCATGCAGTTTTTTATAGCTTGTTGACAGCATTCACCCTTCTCCCAGCTCAGTACCCAGAGAAGGGATTTACACAGAGGGGGCTTGGCCTGGGACTGATTCCCTTCCCAGGGAAGTCAGGGTGAGGTGGGACAAAATGGAGAATAATGCAGAGAGGAAAAAAATGGAGTAAGACCGAGGCTGTGATTGTGCAATTATCACTCTCCCTCCTGCTTCCAGCCCCGTATTCTCACGGATCTGTGTTCTTCTTCTCTGGATGCTCTTGGAACAGAGGGAGGAGAAAATCAACTGGGAGGAGAGGGAGGGTGGAGAAAGGCAGGAATTGTACAGGTGGATCATCCATCTCTCACTGCAGCTCCTGATCCCACCTGCTCTGGCCCTCACAGCACATTCTCACCTGTGTGGGTGGTTTTCAAATGCTCTGAGCAACCAAGGTTCCTGTTGCATCCTCTGCAGTTCCTGGGGTGGAATGCTGAGTGCCAAAGCTGGATCGGGATAGCAGAGCTTTGTACTTTGGGGACTGTGTGATGCAAAACCAGCCCTGTATTCACCTCCTACTGCTGGAGCTGCAAGAACACCTCCTGCCCTTCCAGCAGCTCCAGGCCTTCCTCCTGCCTGAGACCAAACTCTGAGCTGGGATTTGTAGGTGGGGATGTTTCACCTGCTCTCCAGATTTGCTGGCACTAAAAGCAGCTCTTCCGTCCAGCTTCCTTCTGGTAATTCTGACTCAGGCTTCCAGGAATGGAGGGTGGGTTTTTTCTTTCTTCTTCTTTTTATTTTTTTGATTTTATTTAAAAATAGGAGTGTTTATGCCTAAGATCTTCCCATCTTTCTCTGCTGCTGGTGGAGCATGAGGCTCTGTGAGCCTGGCAGTCTGCACAGGCTGTAAACTTGGAGTAGTGCTGCTCCTGGAGTTGCTGATTGCTTTGGATGCCACCAGCTGCTGGCCTGACCTTGCTCGCTGTCGGGAAATTCCAGGGTGAATTTGTTTGTGTGGGAGCAGACAAAGGATCTCCTTGCCTGAGCCCCCCCAGCCCAGAGTGTCTCGGGAGCTCTCTCTCCTCGCTGGCAGTGGCACAGCAGGCTGGATGGGCCAGGGATCACACGTGTCCAGGGATCTTTGTTGGTGTATTTCTGTGCTTGCTGGGGTTGGAGGGCTGAGGGTTTGGAGCTCTTCCTCACCTGCACCCTTTGTGTTCCAGCTGTTCTCATCCAGCACACCATTCTCGGGCCTGAATAGCTCCCATGACCACGTTCCTGCTGTCCCCAACACCCCTCTCCTCATCAGCTACCAGGTGAGAGCAATGGGTGGCCTCTGTGGGAGGGGACACCAGGCTCCTGGTGACATCCCAGTGTGGGGGGAGCAGTTCTGACCCTTTTCCCTTCAGAGGGAATGAGACAAGAAAACACAGGTCCCTGCCTTTTGCAGAAGTGTGCTGTATTTCCTGGGGTGGAACCTCACTGTGTTAAGGGACACTTTGGGCTCTCAGGACTTTGCCCTGTGCTGCTGGCACCACGCTGGTTTAAAGCTGTGCCAGGTGCCTCACTCAGGGCAGGGGAGGGCACAACCCATCCGAAAAGTGCTGCAAACATCTTTCCCCAACTCAATGAGGGCCAGTCAGCTCTTACAGCCCCTGGGGTCGGCCCCCACTGGTGGTTTCCCTTAGTCTGTAAATGAGGTGGATTGTGTCTGGAGGGTTTGGGGCATGGTTTCAGTGGCAGGTTGTGGCAGGGCACAGCACTGCACGTGTCCATAGCTCAACTTTAACTCTGGGTCAATGCTTCTCTCCAGTCTCAGGCTCCTGCAGAGGAGGAGGATGAGGGTGAGGAGGAAGAAACGGAAGAGTTGGGGCAAACGGAGACCTATGCAGAATACATCCCTTCAAAGTGTGAGTGTTGCCATGGGAAGTGCTGTTCACTCCATTGTGGACCAGCCTATTTCACTGCTCCCTTAATTTCCTGGGAGCAGTATCTGGTGTTTGCTGTGGCACCTCCCAGGCTTGTGGTTTTCTGGGAAAACTCTTCAGTGACCAGGGCTGCAGCCAGGTGATGAGCTCTGAGGTGCCCCTGGGAGTAAAGACCTCGACTTACCTGTGTTCTGTTGTCATTTAGCCAAGATTGGGAAGCACCACCCTGACCTGGTGGTTGAGACAAGTACCCTGTCCAGTGTTCCCCCCCCTGACATCACCTACAGCCTGTCCCTGCCATGCTCCGTGGCTGACAAGGGCTCCCTCTCTGCACTACAGCTGGAAGCAATCATCTATGCCTGCCAGGTACTGCCTGCACCTTGCTCATCTCCTACCCCTCAAGAAAACTGCCTCTGGCAGGGATGGGTGTTAAAATAACTATAATTCAGGTGGTGAAACTCCTTTGGCATTTTAAGTGCCTTTCAAAGGATTATTTGAAGCAAGGGAGTTCTGTGGGGTCTGTTTCCCAAAGGGGCAAGAACCCTGGACTTTTGTTGTGGAGAGCTGTACATTTTGGGGCCTTTTCCATGAACTGCCACTTTTGAGCTTGGCCCTGACCCTTCCTGCCATCCTTTATCTGAGCAGGACGTGCACGTGCATTGATGGGATGTGTGGAAGGGTTAAGTAGTGCTCACATCAAAGCTGTTAGCAAAGGCAAATCTGGTTTAATTTCCAGTTCTGTTCTTGATTTTGCAGCAACATGAAGTTTTATTGCCCAATGGGCAGCGAGCTGGGTTCCTCATTGGGGACGGTGCCGGAGTGGGAAAGGGCAGGACCGTTGCGGGCATCATCTTTGAAAATTATCTTAAAGGGAGGAAAAAAGCTCTGTGGTAAGTTGTTGGGTTTTTTCTCTCTTTTCCCGTAAGACCTCGGAGTTAGTTTGGATCTAGAAGTAAGGAATTCCTTAGTGCTGATGTTGGCTTTAGAGTTGAGTCATGCTGTGGCCTTGGGTAAGTCGTTTCCACCTCTTACTGCCTGGTTGCTGCCTGTGCAATGGGAATATTCTGCCTGCAGCAGGGCTGGAGAGTGAGTCACTGTGAAAGAGCAGGTTTTGTGCTCCTGGGGGTGCAAGGACCAGTCTGGCCCCACTCTCTCTGGAGTCGTGGAGGGGTGTGATGGGTTTCCTGGGTGCGGAGCCAGGAGCGGGGCTTTGCTGCAGATCACACACAGCCTGTGCCAAGGGGCAGCTGTCAGATCTCAGGTTGGGCTGTGTGGGCAGTGGAGATGTGACAGCTCTGCACGGCTCCTCCTGCTTTAGTCAGAGCTGGTAATCACTGTGAGCCTCGACTGCCTGGGGACATACCCAGCCCTACTCCTCAAAGAGATACCCAGCCCTGAGTGCTTGGGGGACATAACCAGCCCCAGCTGCCTGAGGGAGATAACCAACCCCAGGAGGAGATAACCCACCCCCTCCCACTTCACAGGTTCAGTGTCTCCAATGATCTCAAGTACGATGCTGAGAGAGACCTGAAGGACATCGAGGCCTCCCACATTCCTGTGCATGCTCTGAACAAGGTAGGAGAGGAGCTGCAGGGCTGCCCTGGAACTCAGCCCACAGGAGCAGTTGGAGGCTCTGCCTGGGCATGTGGGGCAGTGTCAGACACTGAGCTGTCTGTGTTCCCTCCTCCCAACCCACTTCCCACTCGGGGCTCCAGCTGTTTTTATACCCTGTGGAGCCACATGGGGAGCACAGAGCTGTTCCCTGCGGGGAGTGGGAAGTGTCTCCAGGCAAGTGCAAGTACAGCAGGACAGGAACCTTCTTCACTGTTCCTGAGGAGTCCTGTGGAGGGAATAGCTCTGTGAGATGTGCTCTGCTCTTCTGGGCCAGCCTTTGCCAGTGCTGGTTCATGGAACCACTTCTCAGAGCATGTAGGGAGCACAGAGGTGCCCGGGCTGGTCCCTGGCATACCCGAGGAGCATGTGGGCATTTCCCCCAGATGAGCAGATAAGAGGATTTTCAGGCTTTCTTCAGTTACTCAGTGATGAGGCTGAAGTGTTTCTCAAAAGCACCATCAGCAGCTGTGGGATGATTATTCACAGGGCTCTTTGTGGCCTACTTGAGTCTCTGTCCAGTGTTTTTCAGTTCACTGAAACCCTCTCCTCTGGTTTTAATGGTATTGAACAACCAGCTTTTACAAAGTCCATAGAAACCACAGGTGTTTGACACCTCTGAATGCCCTCCACTAAGAGACTGAAAGGGATTTTGTTTTCAGCCCCAAAAGACTTTAAATGGAACTTTTTTCAGCTTGGGGCCAGGGGCTTTTCCCCAAGCTTGGATTTCATTACAGGTGAGACCCACGGCAGTGGGACAGGCAACAATCTCACCTGGCCAAAGAGAAAAGGATTTTCTAGAAGGAATTGAAACAGGCAGGAGGGTTCAAAGCAGTGAAACACTCTAAACTGTTGCTTAAAAAAATGAAGCACTTTTTTTGCCAGAAAATCGACGTCCTCGCGTGTTCCCCACAGTTCACTGCAGGCGTCCAGATGTGCTGACACATTGGCTGGGGCACTTCTCCAGACATTTACAGTCCCTGTCATCACCCTGTCTCAGTGCCAACAGAAATGCCGAAGGCATCAGCTACTAACAGCTTTTTGTCTGTTCTGAGCTCAGACTGGGGTTTGTTCTGGGATCAGGAGCGTGTGTCCGGCGTGGCCATGGGCAGGGAGGGCTGTGACGTGCTGGGGGCAGCGATGACGAGTGTGTGTGCTCTGGTTCTTCCTTCCTGCAGATTAAATACGGTGACACAGCTACCTCAGAAGGAGTCCTCTTTGCCACCTACTCGGCGCTGATCGGCGAAAGCCAGGCCGGGGGACAGCACAGGACGCGCTTAAAACAGATCTTGGACTGGTGCAGGGAAAACTTTGATGGAGTCGTATCCTTAAAATAAACCCCAAACAGTCAAAAACTGGAGAGAGAGGGACTGCCACTTGTGGTTGTGCTTCACTAGGGAACAAAGAGCTCGGGGCCATCTGAAGTCACAGGGAGCTGCTGTGGGAGCAGCCCGGTGCCTGCGGGAGGTATTTTAGTGCTGTGAGCACATGAATCCCCCACACTCAGATCTCCTCCTCCCAGGATGCAGTTAAGGGGAGGAGGGGAAGAAGCAGCTGGGATTAACCTTTTCACATTCCTCTCCCTCAGCATTACAAGACAAAACACACCTTGGAGGTGAAGGGAAAGGGAGGGGGAGATGACTTATGGTCTGAGGAGCAGAGGACTGGACAAAGCCAACGGGTTCCATGTGTGGGGAAGGAGTGGGTCTGTACTGGGGCTGGGTGTTCAGTTGGATGAAGGCAGCTTGGCTGTGTTTTCTGTCTGCTCCCATCCTCGGGATGAAAATAGATCCTTTCTCCTTAACTGACATTGCCCTGCAGATCGTGTTTGATGAATGCCACAAAGCCAAAAACGCCAGCTCTACCAAAATGGGCAAAGCAGTGCTGGACCTGCAGAACAAGCTGCCTCAAGCAAGGGTTGTCTATGCCAGTGCCACAGGTGAGCTGCTCTGCTCAGGGGGTGGCTGTGAAGAGTGGCAGGTCTCTGACCTGGAGGCCCCTCTGAGGTGTGAGTGTGTGTGCTGAGAGCACGAGGCTGTGTGAGGAGAGGTCAGTGGTGCTGCAGGGCTGGAGAGGAGCTCAGAGTGCCAAGATCTACCCCAAGCCCCATCACTGATGTTACTTGTAGATTTTTGGCAGATCACACTAATTTCTCTCCAGTTTAACTTGTTCCTGGCCAGCTGTTCCAGCTGTGTGGTGACACTTTCCCACTCAGTGTAGGGAGGACAACGTTTGGAAAGGTCTCCTAAGGCACAATGGCAAATGACAACCTCTTCAGAGTTCTCTTCACTTGAGTCTCAACTGCTCCCAGGTGCTGTGGGTTTGCTGACAGTGAATTCTGTCCAAACAGGTGCCTCAGAGCCAAAAAACATGATTTACATGAGCCGCCTGGGGATCTGGGGGGAGGGAACCCCGTTCCGAGCCTTCGATGAGTTCCTGCACGCGATTGAGAAGAGGTGAGTCCTGTCCCCCCGGGCAGGGGGAGCTGTGGGAAGGGGGTGCAGTGCCCCAGGGTGGTGTGGGCAGCGTGAGCCAGGGGAGGGGCTGGGGCTGCAGAGACAGCAGCTGGGGGTCACTGCTGGGGGTCACTGCTGGGGTCCCACAATTGCCGCCCTCTCCCAGGGGAGTCGGGGCGATGGAGATCGTGGCGATGGACATGAAGGTCAGTGGGATGTACATTGCCCGGCAGCTCAGCTTCACTGGGGTGACCTTCAGGATCGAGGAGATCCCGCTGGACGAGCAGTACAAGGCTGTCTATGACAAGGCAGCCAAGCTGGTGAGCTGGGCCCGTTGTAGTGGGAGGCTGAGGTTCACTCATGCTTTGGGCATGGCCACTGGTGTGAGGGAGGGTTTGAGGACCCTAAATGAGGCCATGACCTCAAACACCAGAAAGCAAAGGGGTACACGACGCTCAGCTGATGTAAAAAACCCACCACCTTATACTTTTTTGCTTCTGTTTGAAAGTTTCATATTTGCAAACCAGAGCTTTGTCATGCTGGTGCAGAGAATGACCAGAGCGTTCATTCAACCCAACACAGCAACATAAACAGTGATCCTAAGGCAGATTATCAGCCCCCAGACTGCTCTGATCACCCCCTGCACGGCAGGAATGACAGTGGAGATGGGGATATTAACTCGTGCCCCTCGCTGTCGTCCGCAGTGGGCAGAGGCCTTGATGGTGTTCCAGCAGGCAGCTGACTGCATCGGGCTGGAGTCGCGGAAGTCGCTGTGGGGTCAGTTCTGGTCAGCTCACCAGCGCTTCTTCAAGTACCTGTGCATCGCTGCCAAGGTGCGGCGGCTCGTGGAGCTGGCCCGGGAGGAGCTGGCCAGGGACAAGGTACTGGGGCAGCCCCACCAGCCTGACCCGACGTGTGATGGTCGTGCCTGGGTTTCGCAGAACGTTCCCAATGAGTGATGCTGGGGAGTTAATGTGGCCTCCTCTCCCGAGGCATTACCCTCTGCTGGTGTGTGGTGGATGTGGGCAGGCTGGTCTGGGACAGGATTTTGGGTCATGTTCAAGCTAAAAGTGTCCAAGGCCAGGTTGGATGGGGCTTGGAGCAACCTGGGCTGGTGCAAAGTGTCCCTGCCCATGGCAGGGGCTGGGACTGGATGAGCTTTAAGGTCCTTTCCAACCCAAACCACCCTGGGATTCTAGAAGAGGTACCAGACCCTTCACCTTGAGCACAGCTCTGTCCTTTCATCCACCTGGGTGCACCTTGGAAATTTTAGGCAGAACATCCCTAGCACAGGTCTGTGCTCAGAGTCACTCTCTGTGGGGTCAGCCCAGGGGGCTGTTGGATGCTGAAAGATTTGAGAGATGGTTCTTCATCAGGAGCCCTGCCATGGGCCCAGCATGGATTTATTTGGGACAGGGTTCAAGGGGAGTACCTGGGTCTGGGAAATACCTCTTGAACCTGGAGCTGTGCCCCTGCCCTGACACCTCCCTGTGCCACCCCTCGTGTCCCCGCAGTGCATCGTCATCGGCCTGCAGTCCACGGGGGAGGCTCGCACCAGGGAGGTCCTGGACGAGAATGATGGGCATCTCAACCGTTTTGTCTCTGCTGCAGAGTGAGTTAAAAATCCCTGTTTTCCTCTGGGGGTGCGTGGGAGGCCAGAGGAGTGGGAGGAAAGCTCCTGCACGGAGCACTGGCTGTTCTTGAAATGCAGTTTGACGTCACCTCCCCCTGTACCGTGGAGAGGACACTCAGAGGGGTCCATGGGGCACTGTATCTTCAGTGGGACTGTATGAGCTACATCCTGGATTTTGAAGTCTCCTGTGGTCCAGACTCGCAGGAACAGCCTGATCCCACTCTCTACACACGTAAAAGACCTGGCAGGTGTAGGAGAGCCAGGAATGGAGCTCAGATGTAGTTTGTGTGTGTCTGGTTCTGGAAAATTAGAGTGTTGACACAAAAGGAATGAGCAAGAGAATCTTCTGTAATGGCAAAGGCTGTGATGATGCTGTGAGGTGGCATCAGTGGAGCAGGGCAAGGGAGGAGTGGTCCAAGGAGTTCAGATCCACCAGTGTTGGCTTTGAGCTCATGTACGGGACAGGACCAGTGTCCTGGTTGTGTGGCCATCCTGGCTAACAGGAAAGCTGGCTGTGCCAGCAGTGAGCCAGCAGCAGGACTCGTGCTGCCCACTCAGCTCCTCCCCCCCCTCCTGCCTGCAGCTTCCAAAACACCAGCCCATCCCTGAACGTGGCTGAACCTGCACAACGGGTGACAAAAGCCTGGGACATGGGGTTGGGTTGTGTTTCCTTTGTAGTGCAGGGCTGTTTTCTTCTGAAGTGACTTTTGATGCATGTCTGGGTTAGGCCGAGCTTTCCTCCCTTGGTGCTGGGGTTTGGGTTGGTCTGTGTGACTCTGCTGTCTCCAGCCCAAACCACAGTTTGGTGACAGTGCACAGGGCAGGTCTGGCAGCTGCTTGGGTGATTTGGTCTCTTGATCTCTAGGATTGTTTTCCATGCCACAGAACTCAGGTGTAGAGGACAGTGTGGTCCCTGGAGTGGGGGGTCCCACACTGTGTGACTGTCCCTGGCCCCAAAGGCAGCAACTCTGTGTTCCTCAGCCCTGGCCGGATCACTGAGTGTCTCCTGGCATCTGCTCAGCCTCCAAATGTGTTTCCTGGTGTTCCAGCACTTCGGGGGATTTCTGGAGGGGAGTGTGCTGGGAAGGAGTGGTTGGTTAAAGATGCCGAGAAATGGGGTTAAAAATAAACATTGTTCTGTGAGTGGATTCCAGCGCAGGGCTCTGTCTGCAGGGAGACAGGGAGGGCGAGTGCCGGGAAATGAGCAGAATTGCACTGCAGGGAGGCTCCAGAGTGAGTGTTCTTTTGGGCAGGGTCACCCCAGCACATGGGACAAGGGGCCATTCTTGGTGCCACAGAACTGCAGTCACAGAGCTCTGTCCCTCGGGGGAGCAGTGTCGTCCCTGTCCCCTTCAGCCCCTCGCACTAAGGGGCCTGGAGCTCCCTCCCCAGTTCCCAAGGCTCCCTTTTCTCACCCAGGAGAGTTGTCGTGTTCATCCTCTCACCTGTTACTTGCAACATTTGCGTTTTCAGGGCTTTTTTTTTGTTTTTTCTCAAGCAGAGCTTGTTCAGCACCTCCTCATTGCCCTGAGGGTTCATCCACACAGTCAGCATTTAAACATTTGCTCTTTGATTTGTAGAACAACCCACAGAAACCTTTGGTTTTCATTTTTTCTGATTTTTTTTTCCATTCACCTGAAACCACTACGGATCCATGTTCAGCCACTTGGTTTTGTGGGAAGCAGGCACACAGCCAGGGAATCGGAGGAGTTGGTGGAGCTCATTTGTTGGATGGCCTGGTGGTGGTCTGTGCTCTCAGGGCATGGAGAGAGGCTGGACACTGGGACTTACTGGAGTTTTGATGTAGCAGCTTCCCAGTGTAGTGTTTCCCATTTAAAACTCCCTCTTGGTTGCTCTATAAAGGTCCTGCAGCCTTGACACACTCTCAGGCTCCAGGAGCTGTCCCGTATCCGGGGCTGGCTGAGCCCGTGGTGGCAGCCATGGGGCAGGATTGACCTCTCTTCCGTGGAATGTGGGGCTCTCCCAAATACACACGAGGTACTTGGTAACCAGCACGTGTTCCTGGTAGCTGGAATAAATTTTGCATCTTACTTTCAGAGGCGTCTTTCTATCACTAATTCAGAAGCACTTTCCTTCAACCAAAAGAAAGAGAGAAAAAGGAACTGGCATTAAAAGAAAACGTAAGAGCTCCCTCACTCCCAGCCCAGCCCCTGCCTCCTGCCCTGCTGCTCCCCCCCAGCCACTCACTTGTTCTCTACCTCTTGCCCTTCTCCCCACTCCACGCTTTTTGCTGCTCTCCTTGGTTTCTGTTTGCCCTCCCACACGTCTGTCGCTCCTTCGTCCAGAGGACAGCAGGTCTGGGTCATCCACCCTTTTCCAGCTTTGCCCCACTGCCCTGTCCCAGTGCAGGGCCTGCCCTCTGCCCCTACCCCGTGGCTGTGCCCCCTCCCCTCAGCCTGGGCTGGGGGCAGATGGCACAAGGCCTGGCTGGTGTCTGAACCCTCCTGCAGCCAGAGGGTTCCTCCATGACACCCTACGTAGGGCACTGCATGTGTCCAGGGGAAAACAATCACTTCCCTGCAGGTTATTGGCTGTGGCTGCAGGTAAGAAGAGTTTCTCCTCTAGTGGGATGTGAGAAAGGGGGAAGAGGGGGCAGCAGCACTGGCAGGTTGTGGAGCTGGTCTGTGAACCCTCTCATGTAGCAGTGGCACGTCTTGCTGTGCTTGGAAGCAAACAATGTCCCAAAACACTGGCACCTTCCCACATCCTGGCCACTCCTCTGGAAGCAGTCCCCTGGGATTACTTCTCTGAGGAGCTGGCACTGCTCAGTGTCCATCCTGACACGTGCAGCCAACTTTCAGCCCTGCTCAGGAGTGCCTTGTTCTTCCTTTCTCTCTCTTCCTTTCTCTTTCCCGCTCTCCCTCCCTCCCTCCCTAATTGCCCCCCACCCCTGAGGCTCTGTTTTGGCGAGGTCAGCCTGTCATTTGGGGCAGTCTCAGCTATTTTGGGATTCCTCCTCCTCTCTCTGAGCTGGCCCTTGCTGCCCTGTGCTGGTGCCTCCCTGGGGCCGGTGCCGTGACCCGCTGGCTCTCCGTGCAGGGCGGCCGCGGGGCCGGTGGCCCAAGGCTCTGCGGGGCCTGTGTGACCCAGGGGTCATCAAGATCAGCGACGACAGCAGCACCGAGTCCGACGACTCGCCCAGCGACATCAACTCCTCCCCGGAGTCCCTGGTGGAGACGGACGACGTCATCTTCGTGGAGCAAACGTACACCGGCTGTGCCACCGAGGGTGAGTGGGCACTGGGATGGGGGCACTGGGACTGGGGACACTGGGATGGGGGCACTGGGACTGGGGCACTGGGATGGGGGCACTGGGACTGGGGGCACTGGGACTGGGGCACTGGGACTGGGGCACTGGGATGGGGACACTGGGACAAGGGGCACTGGGACTGGGGGCACTGGGTCCTGCAGGGAATGGCAGCCCCTCCAGGCTTGGGACAGCCTTGGACCTTGGCTGGTTTTTGTCCTGATGGTCACACTCGGGTTTGGGAGGTGGATCCACATTTACCTGCTGTGATCAGCAAGCGGGAGGGATTTGCCCTTTGTCCTTCCCCCACCAAAAGGGGGAAGCCCAGAGGGAATTCACTCTGCTCAGCAGCATTTACTGCAGGTGTCTTGGTGTCTTTGCCCATTGATAGTGCCCCCAGAAACCCTCTGAGACAACTTCTTCTCCCCTCTCTGATTTGCAGTTATCAGGTAACTCAGCTTTTGTTGTTTACATTGCAGGTAGCTTTCACATGCTGCCTTCCCAGAAAGAGCTGCACGGCCTGAGAGAGCTGGAGATCGTGGAAAAGATGAAGCAGGACCTCCTGGCAAAAGTGCAAGCACTGGGCAAAGAGCTACCTCTCAACACCTTGGATGAACTGATTGATTACTTTGGGGGCCCAGAGAACGTGGCTGAGGTACTCCCCACCGTCAGGAGTGTATTTTGGTGGCAGGGTGACAGGGAAAGGGGCCAACATAGAATCATGGAATGGTTTGGGTTGTAAAGGACCTTAAAGCTCATCTCGTTCCTTGGGCAGGGACACCTTCTGCTAGATCAGGTTACTCCCAGCCCTGTCCAACCTGGACTTGAACACTTCCAGGGATGATGCAGCCACAGCTTCTCTGGGCAACCTGGGCCGGGGCCTCACCGCCCTCACAGGGAAAAATTTCTTCTGTAAAAAAAAATAAGGTTCCTACTGGCAGAGGGTTCCCTCTCCCTGGCACTGTGGAAAAGCTGTTGAGGACTGCCTGGATGGCCGGGCTGGGCCTCCCCTCTCACAACCCCTCTCTGTGTGCAGATGACGGGCAGGAAGGGCCGCGTCGTCCGCAGGCCCGACGGCTCCGTGGTGTTCGAGTCCCGGGCGGAGCAGGGGCTCTCCATAGACCACGTCAACCTGAAGGAGAAGGAGCGCTTCATGAACGGGGACAAGGTGAGTCGGGGTCGGGCTGAGGGGCACAGGGGAGGGAGGGTGCCTGTGCATCCCTGTGCCCCGCCAGCCTCAGACCAGCAGCTTTCTGTTGGTGTGACCTGCTGGAAGCTGGCGAGGATTCCCAGATCCCTCTGTGTGCCAGGGTTGCTGTTGTGCTCGGGCCTGTTTCCTGAAGCAGTTTTACACGTGTCCAGGAACCTCACCCTGTTCTCACTTGTCTCTCCTGTAGCTCGTAGCGATAATCTCGGAGGCCTCCAGCTCAGGGATCTCCCTCCAAGCAGACAGACGGGTGAAGAACCAGAAGCGCCGGGTCCACATGACCCTGGAGCTGCCCTGGAGCGCGGACCGGGCCATCCAGCAGTTCGGTGAGGGCTGGGTGTCCCTGGGCACTGCCCCCTGCCCTGAGTGTCAGCCAGGCCGTGGAGCCCAGGCACCCTGGGAGGGACAGGGGGGTGGCCGCCTGAGCCGGGCTCCTGCCACAGCCAGACAGGTGCATTTAGGAGATGTCTCTGTGGGAAAAGGACAGAGCCACAGTCACAGCCACACACCCTGTTGCTGCTGAGACTTGACAGAGCTGGGCTTATAGTCCTGAGCTCTGGGGCGTGGGAGGGACTCTGCAGGGTGTACAGGACGGGTGTTATTTGGCTTTTCTGGTTATGTTCCTGCTCCAGACAGGCTGTCCCAAGCTCCCCTTCCAGCCCTGTTCTCGTGTCCCCGTAGGCCGAACGCACCGGTCGAACCAGGTCTCTGCTCCAGAGTACGTGTTCCTGATCTCAGAGCTGGCAGGGGAGAGGAGGTTTGCATCCATCGTGGCCAAACGCCTGGAGAGCCTGGTGAGTGCCCACAGCAGGGATTGGCTGTTGGCTCCAATTCCCTCTGAGGAGATTCCATGCTGGGGCTCACACTGGCATGGCCAGTGTAGCTGGGGGATTGTGTCACCCCTGACTGAAGGCATTGCAGTTGTGGAATGCAGAAGGCTTTTAGCATCCTGGAATTTGGGAAAGGAAGTGAGGAAGAATACGTAATCAAGGCGTTGGGAGGAATTTCAGGGAAGCAGAACCCAATTCCAGATGCTGGAATTCCCCCACTATTACCAGAGCATACATTTTATTCCCAAAAAGCTAATGAAATAATTAATGGAATAATGAGTTTGTTTCATTTTCTTCACTTCTGATAAATCCCCCAATCCTTTGGTAAAGTCTCAGTATCCCTGAGGAACACTGCCTCCCCATGGCACATTTCCATCCTGGCCTCTTCCTTTGGCCATCCTTCCCTGGTGTTTTGCAACAGCTCAAAGTCATGTTTTCTTCCATCTGCCTTCCCAGGGTGCCTTAACTCACGGGGACCGACGGGCCACCGAGTCCCGGGACCTCAGCAAGTACAACTTCGAGAACAAGGTGACAGGGCTGCCCTGGGGCAGCATGGCCCAGGGGGCTGGAGGAACTGGGAGAGCCTGTGGTGGGATCTGGAGCTGGGAAGATCATTGCTGGCACCTGCAGGCAGGGCCCAGCCTAGCACCCAGCTCCCTGCTGCTCCCAGCTCCCCCCAGCTCCCCCCAGCTCCCCCCAGCTCCCTGCTGCTCCAGCTCCCACGGGCATGGGAGCCAGGCTTGGGTGGAGGACTCTGGTGTCAGTTCCTCCCACATGTGACTGTCGTCTCCTCCCACAGTATGGGGCCAAAGCCCTGGACAGGGTCCTGTCCACGATCCTCAGCCACATGGAGAACAGAGTTCCTGTGCCCAAGAGCTACGAGAGACGGGAGGCCGACTTTTTCCGTGGTAAGAGCACTACCAGCTCCAGGGTTTCTCCTGGCCACGGTAGTCTCAGGTTTGGGACACTGGAAGAGCTGAGGAGAAGGTCAGAGAGAGGAAACAGAGGGGGGAAAATGCCACTGGCTCAGCAGCTCACTGTGAGTGGGGCGATGTCACCCTGCCAGGCACAGGGAGAGGCTGAGCTGCCGAACAACGGGCACTGCTGGAGGGGAAGCAGCCCCACAGGACTGCTGAGGGGGGGCTTAACCCCAAAACACACCAGGTGTCTTCTGCCATTTCAGAAATGAAGCAAGGGCTCATCTCCGTGGGGATCTGCTGCAGTCAGATGAAGTACGGCACTGTCTCGGTGGAGAAGGGTACGTGTCGAGCTGTTCCTGCCCAAAGCAGGGGGCAGACAGAAGGGGCAGGGGTGTCATGGCCCACCTAGCCTTGTGGGGTTGGCTGGGCAGCTGGGCAGGATGTTTGTCTTGAAGGGAAGGTCCTGTGGGAGCAGCCTGTGCTGCAGATCCCATGGCCCCACACATCCCGTGGCCCTGAAGCTGCTCCCAGCCCACAGGAACAGCCCTTGGGCTGTGCTGCTGTTGGAAGGGACATTGTGGGGCTGGTTGAGGGGCTCTTTTGAGGGGGCTGGTGGATTCTGTGCCCAGCTGCACCATGTTCCCTGACCCACTGTGCTCTTGCAGACTGCTCCATCACCAAATTCCTGAACCGCATCCTGGGCCTGGAGGTGGACAAGCAGAACATGCTCTTCCAGTATTTTTCTGACACCTTTGACTATCTGATTGAGAAGGACAAGAAGGAGGGCAAATACGACATGGGCATCCTTGGTATGGAGAGGGGGTGGCCACAGCTCTGCCTCCTGCACCCCAGGGGTTCCCTGTTCCTCCTGTGCTGACTGAGGGTGGTTCCCCACTGCAGCCTCCCCACCCAGCACAGATCATGAGACCCAAGGAGGTGATTTGGGTGGGTTTTCCTTAGAGCACCCTTTTCTCCTTCCACAGATTTAGCGCCAGGAGTGGATGAGATCTATGAGGAGAGCAAGGAGGTCTTCCTGACCCCGGGGCACCCGCAGGACGGGCAGGTCGTGTTCTACAAGGTGGGCACCTGTCTCTGCCTGGCTCTAGGCTGCAGCAGCACCAAGGTTGTGCTGAGAGTGGGATTTGTGAGGCACTTGTCCTGTCCCTGGAGTTACAAATCCCTCTGTGTCCCTGTTCAGATCAGTGTTGACAGAGGCTTAAAGTGGGAAGAAGCTTATGAGAAGTCGCTCAAACTGACAGGAGCCAACGAAGGGTTCTACCTCTCCTACAAGGTATGTCCCTGGGCTCTGCCAGGGTGGCACCTCAGCTCAGGGGTGGCTTCAGTGGGAGATCTGCCATGGCTCTATGGGCTCCATGTCTGACCTCTTCCTGAGGGCTGGAAGATGCCTCCAAGAACCTCCATCCTGGAAGGAAGGGGTTACTTTAGAAAAACCTGGGCTCGGGGAGAGAGGCTGTGACTGTAACCATCAGCTGTACCCCACAGATGCGAGGCAGCAAATACACCTGTCTGCTGGCAGAGCAGAGCCGTGGGAAGAACTTCATCCTCTACAAGCCAAATATTGGGAAGCAAAGCCAGCCCGAGAGCCTGGACAGTCTGCAGAAGAAGTACCGGCGGGTAGGTGGGAGCTGCCGCCTCTGCTGTGGGGGCTGCGGGCTGGGGGAGGTTGGAAGGACATTCCCTCTAACCCATCACAGCTCCTCAGGGTCCTGTTGTGGTTGGGCAGGGATGGTGGGAGCACTGGCATGCCCTGACTCCCAGCCCCGGATTTCTCTGGGTGTTGGGCAGTGGAAGATCCCTAATGCTGAGTGTTGTGCTGCAGGTGATGCCCGAGGAAGCCAAGGAGCACTGGGAGAGCAGCTACCACTTCTCCTTGAAGAACTGTAACCACGCCGTGTGGTAAGGCAGCTGCAGCCCCAGCCTGCCACAGAATCCCAGCATGGTTTGGCTTGGAAGGCACCTTAAATAAAGCCCATTCAGTTCCATGGCAGGGACACCTTCCACTATCCCAGGTTGCTCCAAGCCCTCTCCAACCTGGCCTTGAGCACTGCCAGGGATGGGGCCAGCCACAGCTTCTCTGGGAAACCTGGGCCAGGGCCTCACCACCCTCACAGGGAGGAGTTTCTTCCCAATATCCCATCTAAATCTCCCCTCTTTCAGCTTAAAGTCATCGAGCCACATCCTCCCTCCCCAGGCAGGGCCTGTGCTGGGGGGTCCCTGGCTGTGGCAGTGGGGGAGGCCGAGGGGGGGGAAGCCGCTGTGCTCCTGTGCTAACCCTGGTGGTTTTCTCCCATGGTAACCGAAGGAACAAGAGCTGCAAGCTGATCCAGGAGGGGAAGGAGTGCTTCCAGGGCATGCGCCTGCGGCACTACTACATGCTGTGCGGGGCCCTGCTGCGGGTGTGGAGCAGGATCGCCGGCATCATGGCCGACATCACCGCCAGCAGCTACCTGCAGATCGTCCGCCTCAAGACCAAGGAGAAGAAGAAGCAAGTTGGTGGGTGAAGTGCTGGGGAGGGGAGAGGGAGTGGGATGAAGGGGTTCAGCTGCCCAGCACCGAGATTCCCTTCCTAAAAAGGGACGTGTTCCGGCCTGGAAGTGCCTGCTGCTGAGGTGACCCCGTGGGAAGGAGGGGAGCTGGGGTTACCCCGACACATTCGGGCAGAGGGTGCAAGCCAGGCCTGTCCCCTCAGTGCCCATGTGAACACCCCCGGTGCTGCTGCCCTTCCCTCTGTCCCCAGAGCGCCCCATCCCTTCCCTGCTGTGGGGACTGATGTCTGCTCCTCCCCCAGGGATAAAGATCCCCGAGAGCTGCGTCCACAGGGTGCGGGAGGAGCTGAAGCAGATGGACCAGGACGTGAAGCGGAAGCACAGCCGGCTGCTCCAGGCCCGGGAGCAGGGCCCACCCTTTTCCCTGCCCCTGCACCTCCTGCCAGGGCCCAGGCTACCCCTGTCCTTGCCCTCCCTGTGCCAGGACGAGATCCTGGACTTGACCTGCAGCCCTCCCAGCAGCAGCATTCCCGACGTGGTGATGAACCCGGAGCCCGGAGCACTGTGCTTCCCCTCGGAGCCCCCCCTGCAGCCCCACCAGCAGCACCAGTTGCCCTTTTGCTTTGGCCTGGAGGATGGTGTGGCCCCCGGCCCCTCACGGCACGAGCCCCCAGCGCCGCCCCCCCCGCCGCCCCTGCAGCAGCCACAGGAGGATTTTCTCCAGCAAGATGGGAGTATCAATTTTAGAGAGATCCTGGAGGACATGCTGAGGACGTTCCCCCAGGAGAACCTGCTCCCCCAGGAGCGCCAGAGCGTGATCCAGTTCAGCGGGCCACACCTGGATTTCTGAGTGCCAGCCGGGAATGCCAGCGGAGCTCGACCGCTGTGGATCTGCATCCTCTGGGGCACAGGTGAGAGCTGAGGAGCCCTGAATGTCCTACCCGTTTGGACTGACCCTTTTGTGGTTTGGAGGGAGGAAACAGGTTTGGTGGAATGTGCCTGGGGGAAACCGAGCGGGTCCCGCTGGGCCGAGGGGCTCTGCTGTGTCCAGTCCTGCTCACAGGTCAGTGCCTGTGTGGGACTGAGGGGAGACCCCCCTCCTCTGCCCACCCCCACAGACTACTGAGTGTCCGAGCCAGGCCAGGCCTTGCCCAGCCCTCCAGCCCAGCTCTGCAGGGCCACAGCCGGGCTCTGGAGCCGCCCGGTGACTGGTGCTGGTCCATTAGGGAAGGGTGGGAGCCCAGGCCCCCAGTTTGGGCTGCCCCAGCATGTGCTGGAGGGCTGGGATGAAGGGCAAGGGAATGCTGTCCCAGCAGAGTTGGGAGCTGCTGAGCTCAGCTGTCCTCTGGTAGGGCTGAGCCGGTGTACTGAGAGACCCAAAACTGTCTGCACTGCCCTTCCCTTCCTGGGAAGGATCCTTGGGCTGCTGAGCTCCATGGGAGAGGCTGGAGCTGGATGCACCCCCACAGTGACAGAGCTCGAGTCTGTCAGAGCTCAGCCAGGCCAGGACCAGCGGGATTCCCCGGAGCAGAAGGGCCACATGTCCCCTGTCCTGCACTTTAACCTCACCGGGTCACCGTGACTTTGGCCAGTTTCCTGCTGTCACATGTTGTCCCTTCACCTGGCTGTCCTGCTGGTCCTGCACTGTCCTTGACTGGGCCATGGACCCCGGCCCGAGGGTCTGGGACTGGGCAGCCCAGCCCTGGCCACTGCTGACCTTGGGAACAGCCACTCCCAGGCCCTGAAAGGGAAGAGCTCCCTAGTGAGTGCTGAGTGTGCAGCCTGGGAGTCACTGCTCAGGGTGTGCAGTGTCAGGGTCACTGCTCAGGGATGTGCACTGTGAGAGTCACTGCCCGGGGTGTGCAGGGTCACTGCTCAGGGTGTGCAGGGTCAGTGTCACTGCTCAGGGTGTGCAGTGTCTGTGTCACTGCCTGGGATGCACAGTTTGGCTGCTTCTGCTGCAACCTCGCTCTCGGATACCAAAGAGCAAAGGCTGTTTTGCAAGCACTGCCCCACCCCCTGTCCCACAGCTGGACCAGCTGCCTCCTCCTGGGACAGAGTTGGCCCTTGGCCACCTCCAGCACCTCCCCTGAGCTGCTCCTCTGCCAGCCTCCCCTTTGCTGGGTTTCCTTTCTCTGCTGTCACTCATCGAGGTGTTTCCTAAAAGTGGCACTGGGATGTTTCCAGGGAAGGACCTGGGACCTTCCCTGGGGTCCAGCCAGGAAGGCCTGGGCTGGGGTCCCCCGTGCCTGAGAGGTCAGCGTTGCAAGTGCCTGGCAGTGTCCCCTGCTCTGGGCAGAGTGCTGGGACCTGCTGTGTCCCCCCAGGGCTCTGTGAGGTGTTGGGAGTTGCTCTGGGTCTGTGTCTGGAGCGTTGTGCTGTGCCCGAGGCTGGAGCTGCCTTCCCTGACACCCCGAGGTCACGGACCTGCCCCGGTGCCACACGTGTGGGCTCAGTTTGGGGTTACTCTGGTCCCTGTCTTTCCCCCCTCCCCAGCTGGCAGCTGCCTCCCACCACCCGTTGGGCTGGAGTCAGTCCCTGCTGTCAGGGGCACATCTCACTGCACCCAAGGAAACCTCCTTTACCTCAAAGTGATCACCAAAGATGGGGGAGCCCCCCCTGCCCTGCTGCTGCCCCAGGGGGCTCCTGCTCTCCCCCAGCTCTGCTCCTCTCACCCGCAGCAGCGTCCCAGGGGCCGGGCAGAGCCAGGCTGCCCCTCCCCAGACCCTCCCCTATTTAAAGCACGTCCCAGCCCTCCCCATGGCAGAGAGGCCCCGGCTGCACCCTCCTGCATCTGGCTCGGGGCTGAATTCTCAGCAAGGAGGGAAAAAGACGCCAGGAAAACGCAGCTCAGAGAGGCTGAAACTCAGGAATAACGAGGGGGAACTCCCCGCTGGGCACCCTCTGCCATCACCGGAGCCTTACCTGGTGGCTTTGACCTTAACCTTAAAATATATGCAATCCTCCCTCCCTGGTCTCTGGGAAGACAGAGAGCACCTTCAAGGAATCCCTTCCCTGCCCCAATCCTGTGTTTTGTCAGGGTTAATAATATGTAACATTATCTTTTAACTAAATTATTCTGCCGTTGTCCTACTGATTGTATTTTTAATGAGTCCCTGTTTTCTTCCCTGATACCTTTTTGTTGGCACTTTTTAATCTGCTTGTTGTTTGCCTTTGGTTTCTATGTGTATTTATAATTGATGGAGTTGTACATATGTAAAGAGATTTTTTTAGAATATGTGCCTTGGACTAATCATTCCTGAATTTTCTACTTGCCTCAGAAGGATAATTTTTCATTCTGCTCAGTAAAAATGGAACAGAAGCCACATGTGAGATTTCTGTAAGTCCCAGCTCTGTCTGTCTGTCTGTCTGTCCAACCTGCCCCAAGATCCCAGTGGGACTTGGATCAGGAATCCCTGGGTCAGGGTCCTGCTGGCAGCTGGACTTTGTATCTCCTGTGTCATCTCGGTGGCACTGAGGGCTGTTGCCCCAAGCCTCCCCCTCTCCCTGGGAGAAGCCGCTGCCCTTGCAGAGGAGGATCCTTGGTGGCTCCAGCCAGGGTACTGGCCTTGGATGAGGTGGCTCCTGCCCGGCTTTGCTGGGCAAACACAGATAAAGGAGCCTCTGTCTGTGGTGTTCCTCCCCCGGGAGCTGCTGTGGTGCCGGGATGTCTCGCCCGGGCACTGCCGGCCCCGTTATCCCACGGGAGGTGGGATGGGGTGAGCCCCAGGGAGTGATCTGGGCCAAGGCTGGGGGGCAGCTCCCAAAAACAGCCCCCCCGCCCCAGAGTGGGGTCCTCCAGCATCCCTGAGGTGCCAGACTGCAGGCACAGGGGGGGAGCAGATTTGGGGGACCCCAGTGAAGACCCCATGGCTCTTCCTGCTCCCTCCCATCCCCGCTGGGGCTCCCTGTGAGGACTGCAGATGTGAAGGGGAGATCCAGCACCCCCAGGCCCTGGGGAAGAGGCACTCAGTGTCCCTGCATGGCCCTGGCAGAGCCAAGACACTGCCCCATGCAGGAGGAGGAGGAGGATGGTCCTGCGTGCTGTGGTCAGACCTGTCCCTGGCTGTGGGAGGTTAATTCACTGTGTTCCAACACGACTGGGTTCTGTTTTGCAGAAATTGCTCCTGAATGGGGCTTGTGCCACTGCTGGACCCGTCCCCTCTGCGGCCCTGCCCAGCTGGGAGAGCTCTTGGGGACAGGAGGGATCCCAGAGGGGACACACACCTTCACCTTTTCCTGCTCTGGCTTTTCCCAAGGAGCCCCTCAGGATCGTGGCTCACACAGGATTTGTGTGCACTTCCTCCTCACCCCGGGGATTATCCCTGCTCAGGAGCTCAGGAGTTGCGTAAGGTCTTGGCTCCCAGCAAAGCTCCGGGTTCTCACTGGGAGCAGAGCAGCAGCCCCGACCCCATCCCTGCTCCAGCCCCGGCCCCATCCCTGCTCCGTCCCTCCCCCCAACACCACGGGCTCATTCCTAAGGTCTTTATTGCGAGGGAACTCCAGTTACTGGGGGGGCTCCGGCTGCTCCTGCCCGGGGCGGCCGCGGCCCCGGGGCCTCTGTCCAGCGGTGCACGCCGGGGTCGGGGCTGCCCCACCAGGACCTGGCTTGGGGGCAGCCCGTCATGGGGCTGGAGGAGGCTCCGGGGGCAGCGGGGCCGGGGCGGGCGGGGGGACAGCGGAGCAGAGCTACAGGTAGGCAGGAAGGTCCTTCTCGATCACCTGCGGGGAACAGGGAGCGTTTGTGCCCCGAGAACATCCCCGAGAACATCCCCGTCCATCCCCTCCTCCCGCCCAGCACCTGCTCCCCAGCACTTACGTAGGGATCCTCCATCGGGCTGTACCTCTTCACCACTTGGCCCTCCCGGTTAATGAGGAACTGGGGGAGTGAAGCAACACCCCGTGGGCGAGTCCAGGGGTCAGCTGGGCTCCCAGGGAGTGTGTCTGCTGATTACTGCACCCTGGGGCGGGGTAGGGGCTCCCAGGGGGCTCTGGGCACAGGAGCCCCCTGGGAATGCTCCTGCCCTGAAATCCAGGGTAACGGCACAGAGCAGAGCCCAGGTGTGAGGCTCCCCCCTCCCCTCCCTGCCTTGGGGACCCCCCCAGAGCCCAGCACGGCCCCGAGGAGGCAGCTGTGTCCTACCTTGGTGAAGTTCCATTTTATTGCACTAGGAGAGAAAAACAAGGAGTGAGTTTTGGTCAGAAAATCCCTTTCTAAGGTTCCTCAGCCCCAGCCAGGCCCCGAGCCGAGCCCTCCCTGCCACACGCACTTGCCCAGGGTTCCTCTCCCTTTGGGCTGCTCCTTCATCCACTTCCAGAGCGGGTGGGCATCGTCCCCGTTCACATCGATCTTGCTGTACATGTCGAACTTCACCCCGTAGTTCTCAGCAAATGCCTTGATCTGAGCGTTGTCCCCGGGCTCCTGAGAGGCGACACCGGGACCGTGAGGGCCCCCGGGCCGTCCTGAGGCTCCCGGGGGCGCTCGGCCCCTCCCGCCGCACCTGCTTCCCGAACTGGTTGCAGGGAAAGCCCAGGATGCGTAAACCCCTCTCAGCGTATCGGGCGTGCAGGTCAACAAGCTGAGTGTAGTTTACGGCGGTCTTCCCTCATTTGGAGGCGACGTTGGTGATGATGCAGACGCAGCCCCTGCGGACGGGGCGGGTGAGCGGGGAGAGGCCCCTCGCCCGCCGGGGCGCGGCAGCGGCTCCCGGGTTACGCAAGAACCGCTGCTGCTCAGCGCCCCGGCCCCGCTCCCCCGGCCCTGCCCTCCTACCGGTACTTCTCCAGGGACACGTCGTTGCCATCGATGTCGAGGGCGTGGAAGTCGTAGATGGCCCTGGCCGAGCGCCAGTCCTCCGCCTGGGCGCACTGCGGGGCGGGGGGTCAGCGGGGAGCCCGCGGCGAGCCCCGTCCGCGCCCCCGCCCCGCCGGTCCCGGGGGAGCCCCGGGAGCAGCCCCCGCCGGGCCCGCGCACTCACCATGCTCCGCACCGGGCCCCGCAGCAGCGTCGCCGCCGCCGCCGCGCTCCCGCCCCGCAGCGCGGCCCGCACGGCCCGGCCCCAGCGCATCGCGCACAGGCACCGCCCCCCCGCGCCGCCGCGGCCAATCAGCGCGCGCGGGACCGGCCCGGCCGGGTGATGGATAGACAGCTGAACCAATAGCAGCGCGGGGCGGGCGGGATGGCCGCGGGGGTGTTTATCGGGCGAGAGCACGCGGGGCGGGGGTGTGTCAGATGCTGCGGGCCGCGCCCCGTCCCGCGGTTCCCTCCCTCCCGGCCCGGGCCGTAGAGATCCAGGGGCCCGCCCCAGCGGCGGCGGAGGGACTTTCGTTCTCCCCGGTACCCCCGGTCTCCGCGGCGGGGGCGGCCCGTGGCGGACCACATCTCCCAGGAGGCGCCGCGGCCGAGGCCCCCCCGCGACCGCCCAGGAGCCGCCTGTGTGCGCGCGGGGCAGGCGGCAGCGCGGGCAGCCCGCGGGGGCCTGAGCGGGCAGCATGGACGACGAGGAGGAGACGTACCGGCTGTGGAAGATCCGCAAGACCATCATGCAGGTCCGGGGGGCGGCGGGAGCCGAGGGGCGGGACGGGACGGGACCGGCGCGGGGGCGGCGGCAGAACCTTGAGCGCGGCGCTGCTCCCGCAGCTCTGCCACGACCGCGGGTACCTGGTGACCCAGGACGAGCTGGACCAGACGCTGGAGGAGTTCAAGGCGCAGTTCGGGGACAAGCCCAGCGAGGGCCGCCCCCGCCGCACCGACCTGACCGTGCTGGTGGCTCACAACGACGACCCCACCGACCAGATGTTCGTCTTCTTCCCCGGTGAGCGGCGCGGCCCGGGCGGGGCGGGGAGGGGATTTGGGGCGCGGGCGGCTCTCGGTGACCCCGGGTGTGGCTCCTTCCGCAGAGGAGCCCAAGGTGGGGATCAAGACGATCAAGATGTACTGCCAGCGCATGCAGGAGGAGAACATCACCCGGGCCCTGATCGTGGTGCAGCAGGGAATGACCCCCTCGGCCAAGCAGGTGCGTGGGGACGGGGCCATGTCCCACTCGGGGCGTTCTGGTGGGCGCTGGAGGCTCATTCCCAGCCTGGCTGTGTCTGTGTGGGCACAGGCTGACCCCGGGTGTGGCTCTGGGCACTGCCAGGGCTGTCCCAGCTGCCTCTGACCGGCCTTTCTCTTCCAGTCCCTGGTGGACATGGCTCCCAAATACATCCTGGAGCAGTTCCTGCAGCAGGAGCTTCTGATCAACATCACTGAGCATGAGGTGAGCAGGGTGAGGGGTTGTCTCCAGCCCTGTGAGGGGCTGGTCCCTGTCCCTGGCTTATCTCAGCCTCTCCCCTGTTTGCAGCTGGTCCCAGAGCACGTTGTCATGACCAAGGAGGAGGTGACAGAGCTACTGGCCCGATAGTATCCTTTGATGGCCCTTTAATGGCCCTTTGATGGCCCTCTGGTTCCCTGTTCATGTCCCTCCCTCCTGCTCAGGTGTGATGAAACCTCGGGCTGAATCCCCCATTCCTGCCATGGTTCTTTTCTGTTCCATGAGTGTATCCAGAGCTCCTCCTTGACTCCCAGCACAGCAAACTGAGGGAGAACCAGCTGCCCAGGATCCAGGCCGGGGACCCTGTGGCCCGGTACTTTGGGATAAAGCGCGGCCAGGTGAGAGGAACAGGCTGGGGCAGCAGCTCCCTGTGCCAGGGGAGGGAGAGGATGGTCCTTGGTGGTGTTTCAGAGCTCTGGGAGCAGGGAGGGGTGTCCCTGTCCTGAGCTCTGGGAGCAGGGAGGGGTGTCTCTGTCCTGAGCTCTGGGGGCCCTGCAGGTGGTGAAGATCATCAGGCCCAGCGAGACAGCAGGACGGTACATCACCTACAGGCTGGTGCAGTGACCCCAGCGTGGGTAAGGCCCAGGGAACCCCAGGGCTGGGGGGGCTCTGGGCAGTGCTGGGGGCTGGATGGGGTATTCCGGGGTCAGTGTGAGGCAGCTGCTTCCAAGGAAATGTGTCAGAGCTTTGAGTGGCTTGTGGAGGGAGCTGTTAGGGCAGAGCAGAGCGAGGCTCCCCTGCCACTTGCTCACAGAATCTCAAGGTTGTGAGCTGGAAGGGACTCACAGGGGTTGTAGAGTCCAGCTCTTAGGTGAATGGGCCATACAGGCATCAAACCCACAGCTGTGGCATTATTAGCACCGTGCTCTGAGCCCCTGAGCTCATCTCAGGGTCTGTGCCCTCTGTGTGCTCGGTGGGCTTGGCTGAGGGGGGAAGTCATTCACATCCCCAGTTCTCTCTCTTCAGGGTGTGAGGAGTTGTGTGACACCTCCCAGTCTCCCTTCCCACCAGCAGTTTACAGGCACTCGGAGCTTCCTGCCCTTCCAGAGATGGCCAAGGAAATCCTCTTCCCAGGCTGCCTCTCTGCAGTCCTGTCACTGGGCCTCCCTCCCCGTTTTCCAGCTTGGACTTTGCTGTAACCCCTCAGTGCCATCCAGGACTCAGCTGTGGAGTCCTGAAGTGAGTGGGAAAAGCCTTTTCTTCCCTGTTTTATGGGCTCTGGTTTGTAATAAAGGTTTGTACCCTCACTGCTCTGGTGTTGCTCAGCATCTCCCTGGGGCAAGGCCTTGAGACCTGTATTTTTCATTATGTTTGTAGTCTCTTCCTGCTGGGACTCTGCTCGACTCTGCATCGTGGCTGAGCCCTGCAGAGCTCTCACCTGCTGCCCTGGGCCCTTTGGATGCTGCAGTTCAGACTTAACTTATTCCTTCCCTGGTCTCCTGCCCTCTGGCCCTGGTTTGGGACCTTGGCGTTTGGACCTCACGATGGAGAGTTGCTCATCACCCCCAGTCATACTTGTTTTAATCCATCCCAGGTCTCTGAGGGGTTTTAAACATCAGTTTTCCTGCCAGAACACTTGTGTTTGCAGTGCTTGGCCTCCCACAGCCAGGGGAGTCTGGAAGACTCTGATCTCCAGGACAAACACGGGTTGGAACACACGGATTTTATTCGTTTTTTGGAAGCATGTCCATGTGACCACAGCAGGGACGTGACAGCGCCGAGCAGCAGCAGGACAGACACCGAGGGGACACAGCCAGGAGGGAGCTGTGGCCCTGGGAAGCTCAAGCGCAGCCTTCGCCCTTCCCTCACTCACACCCACCCTCATCATCCTCACCCACCCTCACACACACACACAGTACCGCCGTGGCAGCAGCACTCCCAGACCCCCCTGTGCCCTGGGAATGGCCTGCTGGAAAATCCCAACTGTCCTGTGGAAGAGCTGTGGGGCAGCAACAGCTCCCGGGGGGGTCTCCAGCTCTTCCCTGGCTCAAACCAGTTCCCTGTGAGTTCACCTGGGGTTCTGTACCTTTGCTGAGATGTGTCTCCATCAGCCCCGAGGGGCTCAGACCTCCTGTCCATCACCTGCAGTACTGAGGTGCCTGAGACACCCCAGCACCACCCCTGTGTCCCACAGGCAGGGCAACGGGAGGAGATGGCTCTCAGCTCATTCCCAGCTAAAAATCTACTTGTCTCTCTGTGCCTCAGTGCAGAAAAGTCTTGTAGCTTTAAAAAAATACCCACTTTGGCTTTAGTCCCTTTGCCAGCAGAGGTAGTGGAGTCGTGTTGAAGGGTTGATTCATCTCTTTACAGAAAAGGAAGCTCAAGATTATACTGGCCAGGGCTGGGGATGGATTTGGGATGTGGTGGCCCCGAGGAGGAGGAAGAAGCACCTCTCCATGGGGACTTGCTCCATGCCCAGCTCCAAGAGCAGAGGGTTGATCCTGGACTTGCAGCTCTTTGGAGACCAAATGACTGTAAAACCAACCCCCTGAGAGCTCAGCAGTGCTCAGGACCCTGCAGCCAGGCCAACCTGCCCCGAGCCCGACCACAGCCTGCAGCTGCTCTTGGCGTGGCTCCTGCCAAGGAGAGAAATGCCCATTGATCCAAATGCCCATCGATCCAAGCAGCAACACAGACGCCGTCAGCTGGTACCAGGGGAGCCCTGGTGGCTTTGGGGGCAGGAAATCCATCCTGGGCTCCAGGTGCCAGGCACAGTCAGTGCCAGTGAGGGCAGATGGCACAGCACAGCCCTGGTTTCCTTCCCAGTCCTCAACAAGCACACAAGGAGGGTCTGCCCCTGTCTCCTGGAGCTGGTGCTTCACGGCTGCCAGGCTGAGCCAGGTCCTGGCAGGCTGTGCCCCCATTCCCCTGCCAGGGGGCTCAGGGGTTTTGTGTGAAAGCTCCAGCCAGGAACCAGCCAGGACTTGCCTGCAGCTGACACACCAAACCCCCCTGGCCCCTGCAGCTCTGAGCATCCCTCCCACCCCTCCACCTCCACAGGTTTCTGTGTCTGGGCAGTCTCTGGGATTTGCCCCTTTGCCTGTCCCAGTGCCCACAGTGGTTCTGTCCGGTGGCTCAGATGAGCCGGGGCTGCAGCTCACGGCCCCTGGCACCCACAGGGGTGCTGGGCTGGCTCGTGGTGTCCCTGGGGGCAGCAGGGACACGGCTCTCGGGAGGCTCCTCCGCGTCGCTCTGCTCGTCCCCGGGGCTGCAGCAGCGGGGCCCGGAGCCCTCGGTGTCCGACTGGCCCACGCTGCAGCTGCGGCTCCGCGGCCCCTCGCTCCCCTCATCACAGAACTGAGCCTCGTCCGTGCTGGTCTCGCTGCCCTGCTTGCTCAGGTGGGTCCGTGGCTCCCCAGCTTCCTCCAGCTCCGAGTCGGAGTCCACGGAGCGGTCGCCGGACTCTGCAGGATGGAGGAGCCCCGTCCACGCTCCCGCCCAGCACCGGCACTGGCAGGAGCTTCGTGCAGCCAACCCGGGGGCCCCGGGGCAGGGGAAGGGTCTGTGTGTCCCCCGTGCCTCCCGAGGGACCCGCACCCACCAGGAGCCCCCCGTGTCCTTCACTGACCTGCGAGCGAGTCGGCGCTGAAAGCCAAATTCCCCTTCTCCGAAGGCAGGTCCAGGTAGGGGACAGTGCTGGGGGCAGCCGTGGGCTGGGAGGGAGAGGGATGGTGGTGAGGGCACGGAGGAGAGGAGTTCTCATTCACTTGGCTCCAGAGAACATCATGGAATGTCCCCCCTGGAGATTCCTACCTCCTCTGTGGCGCCTGAGCCACGCCTGCCAGGCTCGGCCAGTGCTGCCACCTCCTTGTGCTCGAAGATGGTGGGGTAGAAGATGATGAGGGCCTCGATGATACGAGCTTGGTGGGGATAATCCACCAGTGAGGACAAGGAAATCGTGGCGTCCGTGGGCCTGGGACGCATCAGTGTTGGCCCAAAGACGATGCCCAGGTTGCCTGAGGTCATCTTGTTGTCCTGTTCCACTTCCATGATCCTGGGGAGGAGATGGAGGAGGAACTTGTGATAGCAAGGAGGGAGAAGGGTGGCTGGGTAGGGCTGGGGGAAGTGCTGGGCTGGAGCACATGAGCCTCATGAGAGGGAGAGAGGCAGCTGCAGTTGCTTCCCCAGGAAGCTGCACTCACCTCCCCAGCCCAGGGAAGAAAGGGAAGGTTCCCAGCACCCACAGGGGCTCTGTCCCTGCCCCTCTCACCTCCTCAGGTGCTGCAGGAGGTACTGGAGCGTGGCCATGTTCTCGTAGGGAAGCTCCTTCAGCAGCTCCCTCAGCTTCAGCACCAGGCTCAGCACCACCCGGTCGGTGTCGGCTCCTCTGTCCACCAGCTCGGGGCCGCCCTTCCCACCCCGGCCCTTGGCCTCCCCGCCCTGCAGGCTCTCCTTGGCCAGCCCCATCAGCTGGTTGTACAGCCTGAAGGGCATCAGGGGCTCCGGCAGCTGCAGAGACAAGAGGGGAGATGGTCCCAGGAGCTCCCACATCTGCCAGACCCAGACCTGTCCTGAGCTGCTGAGCTGGGGACTCCTGGGGCCTTTCAGTGAGGAAACATCCCTGGAAGTGCCCCCATGGGCAGGAGGTGGAATGAGAGGAGCTTTATCATCCCTTCCATTCCAGGATTCCATGAGTCTGTGACTCCCAGTGCTGCAAACCCTCTACCCCCAGGTGATGTTTATTTATCCATCTCCTGGAGTGTGTCAATCCAGCCTCGTCAGTCCTGGCCAAGGAGCACTTGTGAAGTTCAAGCCAAAAGCAGCCTTTGATCCACCTGTGGCTGCTCCTTGCTGGGTCGAGGTGCAGTGATTCCCTTTTTTTGCCTGGAAAAGCTCTGGGTGGGGTGGGCCCAGCAGCAGGTTCCCCAGGGGACAGAAGGTGGCTGGGAAGAGGACAGGGATGGGTTGTTTTGGGTGGGAAAGGCAGGATGTGAAGGGCACAGGATGCGAAGGGCACAGCCTGGGGGGAAGGCGGGGCTGTGGTGGGGGAAACTCTGCTTTGAAGTTCGTGTGAAGCAGCCGAGGCTGCTGTTGACTGCTGGGTGTTCCACATGGCTGGTGATGTTTTCAGGGTGGTTTAAACGGATGTTTTGGGGACAGGCTGCCTCACAGCAGAGGTGGTTCCCTCCAGCCAGCCCTTTACAGAGGGACTTTAACCAATTTGTCTGCAGCGAGGCAGCAGGTCAGGGCTCAGGACTGAATTCCCCCTCTTGTTCCACTCCACTTTTCTTTGGAGAAACCACAGAGGCAAATCAGAACCTTTGCTCCTGGTGTGCAGGAGCCCAGGGACATGGCTCCCCCCGTGATGTAACACAGAGAAAGGCAGCACAAAAAGAGTTAATTCCCGGCTGCCTGAGAAGGAGAAGCAGCTTCCGCTCCTCCTGCCTTGTGGTGACTGTGGGAGGATGTGGGTGATGCTGTTTGCACCGACAGTTTGGGTGCACTGGGGGGGTGCCTGGGGCAGGACTGCCATGGGGGACCCGAGGGGCAGAGACCCTCCTGAGCCCGGCCCAGGGCAGCCCCAGGGGCAGAGCCCACCCCAGGGGGATGTGACTCAGCCTGTGCAGGGTGACCTTTGCTGGGTCCCTTCCCCTTTTGGGGTGCCCAGTTCCCCAGCTGCAGGGCGGAGGGTTCGTGCTGCAGTCGCTGTTCCCGGCTGTGACTCAGTGTGGGCTGGGCTGGGGGGTCACTGTGGCCCCAACTCCACAGCCAACCTGATCCTGCTGGGAGGGGCCCCTCTGCACCCACCCCCTGGTTATGGAGCCCACCTTGTGTGGAATTCCTGCTGCCAGGTTGGTTCCTCCGCCATCTCCCCTCCCTCCACCACAGGAGGTACCACCAGCACCTTACCTGTCTCAGGTAGAGCTTCAGGACGTTGCTGATGTCGTGGGGGGAGGCCTGGGACAGCTCCACCAGCTCCTTCCCATTTTCAAAGGCCTGGCAGAGCTTCTCCACGCGGGTCTTGACACCGTTAACTCGATAGATGCCCTGAGAAAGAGAGAAAAGTGGAGCTGAGGCGAGGGGAGATGTTCCTCTTCATGTTTGCATGGGACAGTGAGCTGTGTGCTCCCACCCTCTCCTTTTGGGGTGGGAAATCCCTCTAGGAAGTCATTCTGGGATATCTCTTTTCCATCTCAGCCATTCCTGCTTCACAGGAGAGCAGGAGGCAGGAAAGCTGAGTTTCCATGGGCAGAGTTTGGGGTATTTGGGCCAAGTTCATCCCTGATGAACTCTCTGGGTCCCTGCCCTGCAGAAATCTGAAACTGAGCCCGTTGGTTTTCCAGGGGATCCTTCCAAGGGCTGAGCCAGCTGAGGAGGAGGAGGAGAGAGGAGAGTGTGACTCACCTTGGTTTTCAGAGCCCGCTTCTCGATCTCCAAAATGCACTTCTTGACGATGAAGGGGATCCCGTCCGGGCTGCCCCGAGATGCCTCTGTGAAGTCCTGCCCAAAGAGCTGCAGCTTCCCTTGGAGCTTCTTGTGCCCACACTGGATGGCCAAGGTCTCCAGGCACTTCTTGTGGCAGGCCAGGTAGCACTAGGAGAGAGAGGGGAAGACGTGGAGGTGGGAGGGCAGCTACAGAGAAACACCAGAGCATGCTGGGAGCCAGGAAAAATGCTTTGGAGGCACCGCAGGACCAATGGAAAGCACCTGGAACCCTCCCCAGAGGAGGAATGGCCTCCTGAACATGGTCAGAGCTGGGCTCAGGTGGGTTCCACCCCCAGCTCTCTTCCCACTTCTCCCAGCTCACCTCCTCACACTCGGCTCCCTGGAAGTACACGTAGCTGTTGCACTCCCGGCACTTGGAAGGGGCACGGAGCTTCCTCAGCCGATGGGTCTGGGCAGCCTTGGACAAGCCAACATTCCGGAAGGGCCCCGTGGGAGCTGCCAGCTCTGGGCTGATCCCATTGATGCCTGTGGGCAGAGAAAAAGGAAACGTGAGGTCAGGCACAGCTTGAGCAGGGCAGTCACTGTCCCTGGTCCAAGCAGGGCTCATCCCTTGGGAAAGGCAGCGCTACCAGGAATATCATCAGGAATCCCCAGCAGCTGCTGGGTTTGCCTCTGGAACTACTGGGTTTGGGAAAAGTGACCCTCAGGGAGTCCTGCTGGAGGGGTGGTGCAGCAGCAGCACTGTCACCTCCCACACTGTCACCTACTCTGCTCAAAGGGGGTGGTGGTCTCATCCTTCTCCTCCAGCTCCTCACTGGAGGACACGGTGCCGTTGGACGAGAGCCGCTGGAGCTTGTGGCTGAATTCACCTGTCCAAGGAAAACCCACAAACTGGTGAATCACTGGCAAAGCTGCTTCTCCTCTGAAAACTCACCCCACCCCATCCCATCAGAGACTGGGGTCAGCACAGCCATTCACCAACAGGTAAACAAGGGTTGGTCCAGCCTAACTGGGGTGCTCTGGGTTTAGACTGGCTGTACTGGGAGGGGCTCCTGAGCTGTTCCCTTATCTACCTGCATTGGAATCCAGGCTGCTTTCAGCATCAGCAACAGTGGTTGGCCAGGATTTATGGACCTGGTGTCCCCTCCCACCTGCAGAGAGAACACACGGTCCATTGGGATTGCTGTCTGTGTTCAGGAGGGAACAGTGGGAGAACAGTGTGGATGCTGGGAGAAACTGGGATGTCTGGGGGAAGCTGCTGGTGAAGGGGCTGGTGGGGTTTGGTGCCTCCAGTGACACCCAGCAAGGAAAAGGGGATGGGAAGATGGATGATGGTCTGTCAGGGAGTGAAGCGCCACAGATCTGGTTTAGTGTCCTTCAGGGAATTCCACCTGGGAGGCTCCCGGCCCTGCTCCAGGCTCACCCCTCCGCTCGGCCGCCTCGGCCCCGCTCGGAGGCTCCTTGGCTCCTGCCCCTCCTTCAGAGCCGGCCCCGGCCCCCTCGGCACTCGTGGAGAACTCGCTGGCGTTGAAGCTGCCCTTCCGTGTCCGAGAAAACGGGGACCTGGAGGGGAAAAGGGAACGTGGTGGGAAGGGAGGAAGGACACTTGGAAACCTTATCCACGGCTGCTCTCCACCAGTCTTGGGATGCAGAGTTCTCTCGTAAATACTCGACAGCCCGTCTCATCCACCGAAGGATGTGAGGGAAATTCCGAGCTGGTCCAACTCCAGCATTCCCAGCAGGAGCTGCCTTCAGGAATGCTGAAAGCACCCTGGCTCCTGCAGGAGCGCGTGGGCAGCCACAGGAGCGGGAGACGACGCGGGGGGTGCAGCCGAGCTGGAGCATTGCCCGGGGACGGCTCCCCTGTCCCCCCTCACCAGGCGTTGTGGGACACGTAGGGCTCGAAGTCGTACTGCACGTCGGGCTCGTCCCCGCGCTGCAGCTGCCGCACGTGGGACGCGTACTGCTGGCCCGGGTCGTACAGCTTGCTGCTCTCACACAGCGTCTGGAAGTTCACGGGCAGCGGCGCCGTCTGCATGTGCATGGTCTGGTAGAAGGAGATGGTGGCCTAAAAGCGACGTGGAGAGAGACTGGCGTGAGCCTTGTGAGCTGAGGCACAGGAGGAGAGGGAAAAGATGCTCCGGGTTAGGTGGGCAATCGGGAGCAGAGGAACCAGGGGCTCCAGGTCAGGTGGGCAATCAGGAGCACGGAGCAGCACTTGTTCTGCAGCCTTGAGTCTTGCTTTCTCTGAGCACGAGGGAGAGCGGAGCTCTGCACCCACCTGGGCCCCTGATGGCTCTGCTGGGAGGCCACTCCAAACCCTCCGGAGCAGAGCACATTCACCTCCCGCCCTGGGGACGCCCCAGTCCAGCCCCACTCACCGACTTGATGACCTGGTCGCTCTGTTTGATCACCTCGTGGATCTGCCGCAGGGAGTTCACCTTGGTGTCCTCCAGCTCCTGCTTCTGCGTGTTGGCATCGGCCACGCAGGTGCGATACGTGGCCATGGCCTCCTCTGCCTGGGAGTCAGGAGAGGGAGAGACGAGGACAACTCAGAGATGAGGAGAACACGGAGAACAGCCCCTCAGACCATGTTCCTCCAGGCACTCCCATGCCGTGCTCAAGGATCCAAGGGAGCTCAGGTCACTCCACGTGGCTCAGGGCAGCTCCTGCCCAGGGACAGCAGGAGCAAGGAGGCGCCTGCAGAGCTGTCACCTTCTTACCTTGTTCTTGGCTTCCTCTTCCAGCCGCCTCTTCTTGTCCAGGGTTTTGGTGGTGATGCTGCTGGTCGTGTTCTGCTGCTCCTCCTCCGCTTTCACCGCCACGTACTTGGCCTTGTCGTGCTCCTCGCTGCGCTGCATGTACGTCTGCTTGGCCTTGCGCAGGTTCCCCTCGGCCTCTTGCTGCCAGGGTGAGCCGTGACCCGGGTGAGGATGGAACCCAGCCAGGGAGTCACCAGCTCCCGTGGGCTCCCCGGGGTCCCTCAGCACAGCAGAGGCACCCAAGCACCCGACACTGCCAGAGAGGGGCAGGGGTCCAGCATCCTTAGAGGGGCACGTGTTACAGGGTGCTCCAGGCTGTGAACGGGGACGCAAACCCAGTCACTCACCAGTTTCCTCTGTGCCCGGTGCCACTGCTCCTTGATCTCCTTCCTCCGCTTCTCGTGCTCGAGGCGTCTCACCATCAGCGGCTGGATTGGGAGGAACAGCCCCGTGATGCCTTGAGCTGAGTGCTCTGCTCTGCCCTTGCCAAGGCTTTGCAAGGAGAAGTGCCCTGTGCTGGTCAATATTGCTGCCAGCACGGACAGGTCACAGGCACTGGTTTGTGCCAGGGATGAAAATCCACAGCCTGGGAAGTGCCAGACGCAGGTTCCCTCTGGACTGAGCTAAGGAAGAGCCACCTCTGCAATGCCAGGACCACCAGCCCCGGGAGGACCCTTTGACCCCTCACCTGGAGGAAGGTTTGGTGCTGCAGGGTGTTGGCTGCCTGCAGAACCGACGTCCCATGCTCCATGTCCTGCTCCAGGGCCAGCAGGTAGATGGACAGGAAAGGCATGTTGGTCTGGGAAATGGGAAAACACACTGCCCTGAGCCCCAGCACCTGCCCAAGGTCCTTTGGGGAGGAAGAGCCAGAGGTGTGATGGGGCTGGTGGCTGCTGGTAAAAGCCTCATCCTGAATTTTTCCAGGCAGAGCTCTGGAGAGCTGCCTGCACGTTCTCCTGGGCTCTGGAGCTGGGGCATGTGGGATGGGCTCTCCAGGGCTGCTGACTCTCAGTCCAGCCCAGCTCTGGGGGCTTTAGGGACATGGGGACTTACCTCCTGGCTCATGGTTTGCTTGCAGCTGTTTGCCATTTTCTGGAGCCCTTTAGCAAACTCCATCTCTGGAAGAAAAAGTTTGGAAGTGAAAAGGCACACGAGACACTGGGATTTCCCTGGTGGAACCCAATCTTCTTTTGAAAGATAAATCAGGAACTTGAAGAGTGAAGTTCCCACTTCCCTGGCAGTGTTGGTCTCCCCCCAGACTCTTGTAGGGACCTCGACCTGTCCCGGGGCTCAGCCCTGCTCCAGAGGGACCCACCCACCATCCCCCTGCTCACCCAGCGTGGTCCTTTTCTCCAGGTATGAGATCAGGTCCTTCATGTACTTGGAGATGGTTTTGGCGTACTGGAGTGCAGCATCCACCCCCCCCTCGCAGCGCTGCAGCATCACATCCACCTCCTCGGCCGCAGGACGGGCTGCAGTGGGACACTCCGTGAGCTTCCAGTGCAAACCTCCCCATCTCCGAGCCAGCTCCGTGCCGTGCCAGTCCTGCCGACCCCGGTGCCACAGCTCTGCTGCCTTTTCCCAGCCGAGGAGCCAAGTGTGGCTCAGGATCACAGCGATGACAGGGAAGGCGCCGGTTCCTGCTCAGCCAGGCACCCCCACCCCAAACCCTGCACCCACCCTCGTCCTGCTTACCCGCGTTGTAGCTCTCCATGCCCACAGGCACACCGTCTCCTCCAGGCCCAGGGATCCCCCCGTAGAGGCTCTCCATACTCTTTGAGGATTTGGAAAGAAAAGGGGCTGGTCAGCCAAGCAGACGGAGGGGAGGCTGGAACCTGGAGCTGCCGGAGTCTTTCAGCTGTTGCTGATGTTGGCTGTGCCCAGGCTGTGCCCAGGCTGTGCCCAGGCTGTGCTCGGGAGCTCACGGGAATGTCTCTGGAGAAACACCCTGCCCTGGGCTCCCATCAAGCTGAGGGAGCAGCCAGAACCCCATGGCTCACCTGGTTCTGGTCACTGGGTGGGATGGAGAGGAGGGTGCTGCTGTCCACCTCCCCCATGAGGAACTCGGACACCCTGTGGGGAGAGGAGCACAGCACAGGGACAGTGACACGGGCTGTCACCCAGCAGCACCCGCGGACCAGCTGTGGAGGCAGCTGCCCAAAATCCCTTACGTGCTGCTGAAGGACACAGCGATGGTCTCCACGGCCTTCTCGAACTCCCGCTTGTCTGCCTCATTGTTGGATTCATAGTGGAACCCTGGAGAAGAGGAAATGTGGGAGCCCTGTCACTGTGTACCTGTCCCTGTCTCAGCAGGAGAAGGATCTGCTGGCTCACGGTGGTATCAGGGGAGCTGTGGGGCTGGGGTGGGGCTGGGGCGAGTTGAGGGAGCAGTGGGGAGGATCATCCCTATGGGTGATGGATTCCTCCAGCACAGCACAGCGTCCCCCCGCTTTCTCCCAGGACTGACTTCCCTGCCAGCATCCCTTGGCTCATGTTTCTGTTTATTCCCGTTACTCAGGGCTGCTGGAAAAGCACTGCTGGACCTGTTCCACTGCCTTCCCTGCCTCGTGGCTCCTCCAGACCCTGCTCTGAGCAGGATGGACTCCTCCGGGAGGGCTCTTGGCCAAAAGAGGAACTGCTGGTGGCAGAGGGAACTGGTGCAGCCAGTGCTCAGCAGACACCCACGGCACGGGTAAGCAGCAGCCAGGGAGGGCTCCTGGGCAGAATCCGGGTCTGCTCCTCGGGGGGAACTGAGCCCCCCGTTGCAGTGGTGAGGGGCTGGGGTCTGCCCCCAGTGCACTCCCTCCCGTCCCCACGTGGGGCCAGCCCCCAGCAGCCCTCTTGCCACCCGTGAGCCTTCCTGTCCCCCGCGGTTGCTGTTGGGTGTCCAGGAAGCGGCGGCTGACGCAGGAGGTGGTGCTGTGGTCGGTGCAGTCACCCCCTCCCCGTGGATGACAGCAGAGGGAGGTGGTGCCCAGCCAGGACCTGGCCTCCCAGACCCTGCTCTGTAAACACGAGGGGCTGCCAGGAGCAGGATCTAATTATTTCAGTGTTTTTCCTGTGGCTGTGCCTGGAAACCCCCAGGCAGGATCTGTCATTTCTGACACTATATCGTCCTTAAAGCTGGACCACAGCAAGAAGCAGCTGATGCTTTTGCCTTCTCTGCCAGCCCATGGGACAGCTCCGCTCCTGGCAAACTCCCCATGGGCTCCCCAGCCCTGCACCCTGACACGGGGCAAGAGGGGAGTGGGACAGAGCTCCCAGCCCCTGTCTCACCCTTGACTTTGGAGATGAGGGTCCCAGCAGCTGTCAGGGTCTCCAGGGTGTTGAGCAGTGGGTACTTGTTGATGACCTGGCGCAGGATGCGCAGGGTTTCGCCCAAGCACTCGTGGGCCAGCGGCCGCTGGGGCTCCTTGGGGTCTGCAAGAGAGGGGGCTGAGCCCTGAGTCCCTGTTCTGTGTCCCCGCCCGGTGTCCCTGCCCTGCATCCCTGTTCTGTGTTCCTGTCCCACATCCCTGTCCCATTTACCTCCCAGCCACATGCCAGGCAGGGTCCTGCCATCTCCCAGACCATGCAGCTCATCCCCTTGGCCTTGGGGCTTCCTGGGCCAGGCATGGCCTGTCCAGCACCTCCCCACAGCCGTGGCCGTGTGTCTCCTGCCAGCCCGGTGGTGCTGGGAGGGGAAGCCCAACCTTTGAGGCGTTTTTTCCGCAGTAGTAACTTTTTCCCTTGAAAGCAGTTTGGGAATTTCCTCCTCGTTTCCTTCCCTCCCTCCTCCCAGACGGACGCTCCCAGATGGGAGGGATGTGGCAGGTCTCTCCTGCCATCATGCCAGCCCAGCTCGCTCCATCCCATAGGTCCTTCCCCAGGACTGTCCCCTCCCTCAGTGGGCTCCAGCTGCCAGCCTGGAGGTCTGGCCTGGTCAGCATGGGACAGGGCTGGGCACTGCCAGCCTGGTTAGGAGGTGAGGAGCCTTGTGCAGGGAGGTGCTGGGATGGGGGATTGGCACTCACTCCCCAGTCAGGCAAAGCCCCCTGCCCAGCCCAGCTCCCAGCTCGGGGTCTGGAAGGGATTTCTGCAAAACCAGGGCTGAGAACAGGGTGTCATGTGCCCCCTAGACCATGGGATCGATGCATCTCCTGTGCCCCCTTGGGCAGGGATCGGTGCTCGTGGGCCCACAGACCACCCAGCCCCATCCTGACAGCCGCCCTGGTGGGCTGGGGGCCCGGGGGGCCATGCCCAGCACCCTGCAGGGCTCAGGGGGCCCTGGCAGGCGGCTGGCACCGCTGCACTGTAAACAGGAAAACGGGCGGATGAAAATAGCTCGCGGCAGGAAGCCGCGTTATCCTGGCCCTGAGCTCCGGCAGCCACTCACCCACCACCCACCCACCACCTCTGCCCGCAGCTTCACGGCCCCCGGCGGGTCCTGGTGGCCTCTGGCCCAAGCAGAGAACCCCCACCCATGGGGGGTCTGTCCCTGGGGTGCCCTGCAGCGCTGTGACAGGGGTGTTTGGCACTGGGTGGGCACCCCAGGCCGGCGGGAGCCGCGGCCGTGCCCAACTCACCATCGCGCAGCACCACATCCCGCAGCTTCTCCAGGGCGTCGGCGAAGCGGGCGACGTCCGCCAGCAGCTGGGAGATGTCCTCGGGGTCGATGAAGGGGCCCTCCCCGCCCTCCATGGGGCTGTAGGACGTGGGGGTCCTGTGTCCCTTGGCCATGGCGCGGGGGGCCGCGGGCAGGGGGAAGCTGGCGGCACTGGCATGGCGGCTGAGGCTGGTGGGGCGCTTCAGGGTGCCCACGGTGCTGGGGCTGGTGCTGAGCTTGGCGCTGGCCGTGGGCAGGTCCCCCAGGCTGGAGCCTGGTGCCTCCAGGCAATCCTTGCGGGAGAGGTCCTGGGGAGCGGGGATGAGTGTGAGGGTACAGCCAGCGTGGTGGGGACCGTGCTTGGCCAGGGAGAGGGCAGCACCCCAGGACTCGGCACACCACCAGCTTGGGGGATGGAGTGGTGTCTTGAGGGGCTGGTGCCAGACCCTGCAGCTGCACCATGCCTCAGTTTCCCCAGTTAGACATCCCCTTTGGGGACCTTGGAGACAGTCTTGGGACCCCACAGGGCAAAGACAGAGCAGGGAGGGTCTGGGCCAGGCCTGGGCAGGGTCTGGGCACTTGCCCGGCCATCCCCCAGCAGTCACTCTGGCTCTGTGTTCGTCATGGGGGCACACAGTGACCGTGTGGGTGACACTGCTTGTCCACCCCAGCACCCACCGTGCTGGGACTGTCCATCCCAGTGGACTGGGGGCCCCAGCACAGCCAAACAGCAGCAGGATCCAGCCCACACGTCCCTTCCTCTTTTTCAGCTGGTCCCATGCTGGGGGAGGGGGCAGGGACGGAGACACCTCCCAGGCCACTGCTGGGAGTTTGGCAAGTATTTTACAGATGGAGGAAGCCCCCAGTTTCCCGGGGCAATATTGCCCTGAGGGAGGGGTTGGTACCAGCACTGTCCAGGACTGTGCATGGCTTGGGGATCACGCACCCAGCAAGGGTCTGTGAGCATGGGGAGGGGACCCTGCAGCCCCCAGCCCACTCAGCAGCTCCCATCAGGGACCCCCAGGCACCCAGGTGTGACACGAGTGTGCGGGGTCTCAGCATCCCCGGCCGGGCGCTGCCGGAAGCGTCTCTGGCAGACTCGGAGCGCCGAGAGCACGAGGCTTCCGTGGGCGAGGGCAGAGGGGAGCTCAGCCCCACGGGGGGGCCAGACCACCACGGGGCTGCAAGGGCACCCAAAGGGCCCCACCCCAAAACGCCTGGGGCCAGCTCGGCCCTGTCCCCGTTCCCCTCGGGGTGCAGCGGCCCCGGTACCCCCCGGCCCTCCCCCCGGCACCCCGGGGTGCCCCGGCCGTACCGTCAGTCGCACGGCGGGCGCGCAGGGCAGCGAGTCCAGGGAGCGCTGGGGCGGGTGGGCTCTGCCCGCCGCCACCCAGGGGCTGTAGCTGTTCCTGCCCGCGGCCCGGCCGAGCATCCCGCCAGCCGCCACCCATAGGCCCCTCTCCGGGGGGTCGGGACGGGGGCGGGTGCCCCCCGCTAAGGAGCCGCGGGTGGGCTCCGGAGCCCCGACGGCCGCATCGTGCCAGCCCCGTCTCGCCCCACGCACCCGGGCTGGGGCGCAGGCGCGGGGCGGGCGGTGCGGGGTGAGACGGGGAGCCCCGGCCGCCGTCCGGCCCCACGGAGGTGAGGCGCTTCCTCCCGGCTCCTCCGGCACCGGGGGGGTCCGCACGGCAATAAATAAATACACGGCAGAGCTGAGCTGCCTGAGCCCAGTGTCCCCAGGGAGGTTTGGGAATCTCTCTGTCCTCCCCAAACCCTCGGACACAGCCCCGCATTTCCTCCCTGTCCCTTCCAACCCTTCCGCCTCCCTCGGCGGCTGCTCTGTCCCCTTCATCTGGGGCAAAATGTCCCCCCAGCCCAGTGAGCTGGGTCCTTCCTCGTCTTCTTTCTCCTCCTCGCAGACCTCCTGGACGTATCCAGGTCCCCATTGCCACCCTGTAGCTCTTCCCAGCAGCTCTGTGGGTGCTGTTGCCCCCACAACCCCCAGGGACCCGTGGCCCCCGCCCTGCCAGAGACACCGGGGGACACTCACCGGCGGGGTCTGCGGGACGGGGCTTCCCGCCCGGCTCTTCTTGGAGATGGAGGGGGTTTTAATCAGCTCCCGTTTCTTCCGGGAGAACATGGTTCCCGGGGGCCGAGCCGCTGCCCTCAGCCCCTGGTTTGGCCCGGCGGCCGTGCCGGCTGCTCACGGCGCCGGCCACATTCGCGGGGCGCAGTGTCAGGAGGGCGCGTGTGACGCCGCCTCGTTTCCTCATCGGCTTCGCAGCCCGACCTGAAACAGGAAAAGCCGAACGCGCACCCGGGCGCGAGGCCGGGGGCAGGGGCACCCTGGCTGCCCTGCGGGGTCATGGAGGGGCAGGTGGACCCCGGGACTCCTGGGGGGGGGGGGCCGGGGGGGGGGTTTGGGGGGGGGTTTCAGTGCTGCAGACCAGGGCTTAGAGAGGGGTGGGGGCCTGAGCCCCACTCTGCAGATCCGGTGCTGGCCCTGTGGGACCCCCACCCTCTGGGAGGTTTACCCTGTTTGGGGGTGTCCCTCTGTCCATCCTGCTGGAGGCCCCGGGTGTGGGGGTGAATGGGATGGGGGGCTCTGGGCTCCCACCCGTGGGACGCTCCTGGCTCTGCTCCTCCGTGGGCTCGGTGGTGGCGCCGGGAGCAGCCCCCCAGAATCACTGCCCTGCCCCTCGCCCCCGTGACTCCCCCACCCGCGGGGCAATGGGACCCCACAACGGGAAAACAGGAGAGGCGGCCAATAAACCCCTGGAGAGGGACAGGATGGGATGGGCCCCCTCCGGGTGCTGCGTGGGGACCCCCGGCCGCTGCCCGTGGGCTGCCCTGTCCGGCTGCCGGCCCCGCGGGATGGGGAAGACACTCCGCTTTTTCCCGGGAACACCCCGCGGGCTGGTTCGGTCCGGTCCGTCTCGCGTGGGCCGTCTGCCGACCCAGGGGGGGACACGGGCACGGGCGGGGGTCGGGGCGAGGAGAGCGTGTGGGTGGGTGGAGGCGTGGGGGGTGCGGGGGCGGAGGAACGCGTTCGTGTGCCCCGCGTGTGCGCGTGACCGTGGGTGCGGGCAGAGAGGTGCGCGCGTGAGCGTGTGCGTGAGTGACCGAGTGTGCGTGTGCAGGGGAGCGCCCGTGGGGCGGGAGTGCGTGCGTGTGTGTGTGCGCGTGCACAACGCGTGCCCGGGGGTCGGGGCGCGCACACCCGTGCACGCGAGTGTGTAAGGCGATGCACACGCGTGTGCCCGTGGGTGCGTGGGTGTGCCCGTGGGTGTGCCCGTGGGTGGGTGCGTGGGTGTGCCCGTCTGCCCGGGGCGGCTCCAGCCCCGGTCTCGGGCTTCCCCGGGCTCCCGGTGCCTCCCGGCGCCCCCCGGTTCTCCCGGGGTCCCCCCGGGTCCCGGTGTTGGGGTTCGGAGCCACACCACGATCCGGCCGCTCCTGTCCTTATTTGGGCATTTCGGCCCCGTCCAATCAGCGCGGGGGGGCCGGGCCCGGCCCCGCCCCCGCCCCGCCCGGCCCCGCTCCGGTACCGGCTCCGCTGCCCGTGCCCCGCTCCGGTACCGGCTCCGCGCCCCGCCATGAGCAGCTCCCAGTTCAACAAGGGCCCGTCCTACGGCCTCTCCGCCGAGGTCAAGAACCGGGTGAGCCGCGGCGGGAACCGGGGGGACCGGGACCACCGGATGGGAACAAGTCGGGGGCTGGGGATTACCGGGGCCTGCAGGCGCTGCGGCTGCCGGTGCTCCTGGAGGTCTGGGAGAGCCGGGCATCCCGGTGCCGCTGGGGGTCCCGGTTTCATCCCGGGGTTCTGGAGAACCAGAGGGTCCTGGTGCGCCCCTGGCATGTGGAGCCGGAGGGAGCCCGGTGCCACCGGGGACGGAGAGTGGAGAAGTCGGAGGTTCCCGGGAGGATGGAGAGCCGGGGGCTCCCGAGAGAATGCGGAACTGAGGGTCCCGATGTACCGGGGTCTCTGAGGGGTGGGGATGCCACAGCTGGGCTCCCGGTCTCGGGGTGCCCTGAACCTGCCGGCAGGGTCCCGGGGAAGTGTCTTGCCGGGACCGGGGCTGGGAGGGGTCCCGGGCACCGGCCGCCTCTCCCGTGCAGTGGCCGCTATTGCCCCGCCACTCCCGGCAAGCCCCGCGGCTCCGGACCAGCTCCACGGAGCTTCACTTTCTGCTTCCCCGCAGTTGCGCATCCCCCGCGGATGCTCCGGGGCCTTCGCTGGGAATGGGGCTGGTGACCCCGGTGACTCTGCCCGGGGCCGGAAGGGAAAAGGGGAACGGGAGCCTCTGGGCGGTCTGTTTGCACCCCGAGGAGGGAGCTGTGTGCTGCGGGGTGCAGGCAGCTGCCAGCACCCTCCTGCCTCCTCAACAGCTCACAGGGGTCCTGCTGGGCCGGGGGGACACAGCTGCCCCAGGCTGTAGGTGGCACCAGCAGTGGCCGAGGTGTTGGGCTGTGCCCAACCCCGGGCGAGCAGAGATTGAGCTGTGGTCACCCCAGGGCTGGTGGCCTGTGCTGCCCGGGGACACAGGAGCTGCCTGGATGGGGCCAGGGCAGGCAGAAGAAGGGCCAAGTGGTGGTGGGTGTGTGGCTGCCGTGGTTGTGGCTGCAGGGATGTGGTGGCTGTGGCTCCTTACCCATCCGTGCAGGGGATTTACGTTTCATAAGGAGCGGACGGGCCCCGGCCTGCCTGGGGCTGGGCTGCCCTGGCACTGAACGGATGACACGCGCTGGAGCCTCCCCACCATGTGCTCTTGGTGCTTTGGGTTGATTCAGCAAGACATGAGCCAGTCTGACTGCCCCAGTGTGTCTGCTGGAGGTGACATCACCAACTGGGAACCAGTTAAACCAGCGCCATGCTCCCAGTCTGTGCAATCCCTTGCAAAGTGGGCTGCGGGGGGATCTCTGGGGCTGGTCCCCTCTGCCTGCTCCTGTGCCTTGGGAAACCCTCAGAGTGGCCATGGGGAAGGAAGAGGAACTGTCTGCAGCTGCCCGTGCCCCAGAAAATCATCTGGTGGGACTGTGGAATCCCCTGGCCGGGGACACACGTGGTGTGTGACCCAAGGTCCTGCATTGGTCAAGTTCCCCTTTGAGGCCAGAGCATCTCCCCACCAGGCAGCGGGGCTGGACTGTACCCATTCCAGTGACTCCCTTTGTCCAGGAGGAGGGGACTCATGGCCCCAGCACATAACAGGAGCAGGAGAGGACTGGATGGGGGAGAGGTCGGTGGGTGCCCTGAGGCCACCTCTGGGTGCTGGCTGAGCATCGGAGGGACGGGGCTGGGGCAGGACAGCACTCGGGGCTTCCAGGCTCTTTCCACCTCAGGTCGGGATGCCTTTCTCTTGCCTCATGGGTCAGGGCCGAGGTAAGATGCCGATGGCGGAGATGCTGCCGGCCCTGGCAGCTGGTCTCCATTTGGGAGGAGGCGTCCACATTCCTGGCATAGCCGCGGTGACCGAGGAATCTGCGGCGGCTGTTGGGCTTTGCCGGAAGGGAGAGCATCTCGTGGCCAGACCCCCGGGGATTGGAGCTGGGCTCCCGCAGGCTCCAGGGGACAGGGAGGGACTGACCCATGGAGGGGGCACTTCCCCCTGGCCCCCACAGGCAGTTCCTCCTCATCCTTTTGGAATGGTTCAGAAGCTGCTGTGTCTGATGGTGGCATCATCCTCCTGTCCCCATTCCCATCCTGGGGAGGGTGGAACTGTTCCCGTGAGGGGTTTCGGGTGCACACAGGGCTGTGCCTGAGCTGCCCTCACCCACCCCCTCCAGCTTGCCCAGAAGTATGACCCACAGAAGGAGGTTGAGCTGCGGACATGGATCGAGAGCGTCACGGGGCAGCAGATCGGGCCCGATTTCCAGAAGGGGCTGAAGGACGGGGTGATCCTCTGCGAGTGAGTCCCGGATTGGGTGGGGATGGGGAACACCAGCCCTCCAGGGAACCCCCACCAGCCTTTAGGGTGGAAAGGGTGGGCTGGATCTGCACCGGTGGGACCTGCTGGGTCACCCCCAAAGGGTCTCTGTCTGTGGAGAGCCCTGAGGACCAACAGGGACCTGGGCAAGGAATTGCATCACGTGGGGGAGGCCTGGGCTGGATCCTCCTGAAAGGGCCCCATGCCCTGCAGCCCCACATCCCCCTGCCTCCCTCCAGGCTCATGAACAAGCTGCAGCCCAACTCGGTGAGGAAGATCAACCGCTCAGCTCAGAACTGGCACCAGGTAAGTGCAGCCCTGCTGCCACCCACCCACTGTCCCTCTGCCATCACCCACCAGGGCTCACCCCTCTCCCCCTCTCTGCAGCTCGAGAACCTCTCCAACTTCATCAAGGCCATGGCCAGCTACGGCATGAACCCCGTGGACCTCTTCGAAGCCAACGACCTTTTTGAGAGTGGGAACCTGACCCAGGTGCAGGTGTCACTGCTGGCGCTGGCGGGAATGGTGAGCACAGGGGGACGAGCTGCTTGGGAAGGGCACTGTCCTGCGGGACCCCCAGCCTGGGGTGGTGCCCCTGGGACCCTGTGGCTCCCCCTGCCCAGGAAGAGGATGGGGGGACTGGGACCCCCGTCCCTCCTCACCACCACTCCTGGCAGGCCAAGACGAAGGGGCTGCAGAGCGGAGTGGACATCGGTGTGAAGTACTCGGAGAAGCAGCAGAGGAATTTTGACGAGGCCAAGATGAAGGCTGGGCAGTGTGTGATTGGGCTGCAGGTGGGTTGCCCTGTGGGGTCCCAGGGGTGGGGGACTGGGAGAGGGGTGCCCAGTTCTGTCAAATCCTCAGCACTGTCATGGCTCCAAGCACAGCTGGAAGAACCTGAGGCTCGAGGTGCCTCAGGTGTTCTTGGGATCTGGGACCATCGTGGCTCCATGTCCGGCACTCAGTGGCCGTGAGCCTGGGGTGGGTTGGGGAATTCTGGCTGTGCCCCCTGGGCTGGGGGTGATGGGGAGAGGGGAGAAGGGGCACGTGTGGGGCAGCACATGCTCCTCACCAGACCCCTTTGTCAGATGGGCACGAACAAGTGCGCCAGCCAGTCCGGCATGACGGCCTACGGCACCCGGAGGCACCTCTACGACCCCAAGAACCAGATCCTGCCGCCCATGGACCACTCCACCATCAGCCTGCAGATGGGCACCAACAAGTGTGCCAGCCAGGTGAGCGCCTGTGCTGGGCTGGGAGGGTGTGGGGGGGACCACAGCTG